GTGAGGGGTTTGTAAAACGCGAGAAGGATCTCATTTAGAATTTGTCCCCGATCTTTTCGGTTTAATGATTGATTGAAGGGGAGCCTGTTACATGTCACAAGGGCCACAGGAACCCTGTGGAGTAAGGCCGTGACCAAGAAAAGAAAATCAATGGCAATTTTGACTGCCATCTCTAAAAATAAAAAAACCAACTAGAATGTGAAACGAAAGTTATGATGGTCCTTATTTCGATTCATATCAACTTCAATATCTGTCCGAAAATTAACATAAATTTTCTGCAAATTCCTGCAGACATCAGAACTCCAATCTCGAGAAGCCTTAGTTTACGTAATTCAGAAAATCAGGTGCATTAATTCCAAACAGCGGTTTCTTTGAATCCAAATCCACTGCGGTCTGTGCGGTGGGGGCTAGCAATCCGAACCATTTCAAAATTACATCTCGTTCATAACCTCAAAACTGTGCCCAATCGTGACTCATTCCGACAAGATGCAGGGTGACATTTCTGGCCATTCTTCACAGCCTTTGCTACTGAATCGTATGAATTTTTAGCATTTCTAAATAATCCCTCTCTTCCTGCGGAGGCGTCCCGGCGTCTTACCGTCAATTTTAGAAAATTTGAAAACCAAATTTTGATGTACTCAAGACGCCGCAACGGGTTCTCGAAAAGGCCGAAAACCCGAGCCTTCGATAACGAAACTTGAATCATGACCAAGCAAAGTGCCTATTCAGTGTTCTGCCGACTGTGAATCACTCAAAAGCTGCAGACAACATTCTCGTTTGTTTTTAAGGACTTTGCTCAACACATCTTCGCAGATCTCCTTGAGTTCAAACCTGTTGGTGATACCGTAATCATAGATGTTCCACACATTAAGACTAAATCAAACATACCTTTCAGAAAGCCAGTTCAGTCGTTTATGTTGAGCCAGTATTGTGAAAATGCGTGGACGGGTTTATCCATTTTTATGTGAATTCTATTCTATCCACTGAAAAGTGCAGCTGCCCAGACCGAATTAAGGTCCGTGGCTGATGTGGATTTGTTTTAAAACCCACCGTACGCTGTAATTGGACATGCGGAGCACGCGGCTTATATTTGCAAACTGGGTTTTAAGTATAAAAGAATATAGTTCCAATTAAAATAGTCAGAAGCTCTATGCGATAGTAAGAAGGATCCGAATGCACCTGCTCTCTCTAGTATAAACCTTAAAAGCAGTGGCTTTTGACTTCGTCTTGGTCTGGAAGAACAATGCACATGAGGAAGCGAGAGTTCAGCCCCGGCGGGTAAAGAAAGACGGCCTAAGGCTGCCGGCAGGTGACCCCTTAGCTATACCCCCTCTTCATTAAAAAGGGGTGCCTCGGGGGAAGCTGATTAAGACGGGATTTATGAGGAGTGAAAGCCTCAACTGCAAAGGTCAACAGTCTAACGGGGGTTTCCAGGGCTTGTTGGTTCCGAGGGGGATGATCCATCTTTTTACTTGGGGCCTTCTTTTGTTCCGCTGCCCCCATCAGCGGCCGTTAGCTGGCAAGAGAGGAGGGGAGCGACCGAGTAGGGAAGCGGGGACGTAGCCTGAAGCTCGGCCATCTCGTCGCGCTGGCCTAGACACACGGTCCCAGCACTGCCAGATGTTGTTGGGCCGGTTTTTCCCTGTTCACATCTGATATATATTTCAGGCTTATCATAATAAGTTGCACGCTATGTAGAGCCGGTAACTAGATTGGCCAAGGAGGTCAGTGCGGACAAAGTCCGTCAGGCCTTCAAAAGGCCGAGATGTTGAACAAAACAGAGGAACTTCTCTGCAGAAAACTATGTAGGTTCATCACCGTTGGGTTTCAGTGACCAGAATTGCTGTCTGTAACGCGACACAGAAGAAAAATATCACAAATCTACCGATTTACGCTTCTCGTGTTACATCATCTCTGCGGACTATGTCATGTCTTTAACTGTCAACCCTAATGTCAAAGTGATAGTTACGATTATCAGATGTTATTTATGACCTGCCCGAAATTGTCAGCCCTTTGTTACTCACAGAAGATTAAGTAATATCCTACACAGGCGAGCCCAACTGTCACGTCCAGTCTTTCTCCCCGTGCGTATAGCTCTGCTACTCCGAACAAAGCCGTTGAAGTCTGGTGGATGGACAAAGAACCCGCATCCATTATGTTTCCACCCCGTGAACCGACCAACCATGCGGGCTACTTCCACCATCCCACCGCCAATTCCTGACCCCCCAAACACATACCCCAAATTGACTCTTCACGCATCACAGTATGGAAACATTTGCATTTGGCGCGAGTATAATGCATGGGTGCCAAAAAAGTGACCAGCGGGGACACTGGAGCGTATACTCTGCATATTTTAAGTAATTGGACGGCACGTGTCTGTGAAGCGGGATGGTGATTAGAAAGGAGGGGGGGGGACCAACGCTTTATCGAAACAAAGACAGGATGGGAATGGAGAAAGTGTTGATCTTTCTCTTTGTTCACAGAAGATGGCGGTAGCAAAGATTGGAAGCTGGAAGACTTTGATAAAAGAAGCAACTGAATCGGTGAGGACGGTTGAGAAAGAACAAAAGAAGGGAATATGGGCTGTATACGAATGTACATCTTAGCCAGCATGTCTCACCACTAAAAAGTATTTCTCGGTTAGTACACCCGTCTTAATATATTCGGTTTGAGTAAGAAGATCCACGCACAATTGTCGCTCATTCCCAGGCTCATGAGGATCCCAGTTTACCCGCTACGTCCATCTTGGAGATGCTAACCAACAGTGTTCAGTAGTGGAGGATGTTGTTGATCTTAGCAGGATCTCTCCTGGTTGGCCCTAGCCGGTCTTCGTACTTTGCATGGTCTTTTTGCTCGGGGGTGAGGGGTTGAGGTTGAAGTCTCAATTCCTTGACGCGTAATGTTGCAAGAGGGTGTTTATCCAGGAATCTGTGAATCGTGCCGACGGACTCAGAACCTTTCCCCCCCTCCCTCCATTTCCCCTCCCCTGTAGCCTGACACTCGAGGATCATGTTTTCATCATTCCCACAACAAACAAGCACCTTCTTGGAATTCTATTTATACCAGATATAAAATAGCAACCGTCCCTGACTACCCATAATAACCCCTGTGGTCCCAAAATACACCTCTGTTGAGCCGTGAAGCGGGCCCCTTCAATGATATTTCTACCCCACAACAGAAGAGCCCAAAGACGGCGATATTAATAACAGCTCACAGATACACGGCACAGACGCACGTCGCTGGGTCTCTGACATCATCAACGGAAGAAGCAGCTCCCCTCGGCTCGCCTCGCATCCACGGCGAATACCACGGGCTAAAAATAACCCCGCCATTGATTGGCCTGCGCTGCCGGTACGAGACCGCATCTACGGAGAACACCGTACTGACGTCAGAGGGCCGGCAATCGTGTTACGATGCACGTCGGCTCTCGCGCCGATTACGCACTTACTTGTTTTTCAAGGCAGACGCGGAATTGAAAACAACCTTGTTTTCTTCCTGCCTGCATTTCGCCACGGGTTCTCGCTGCGTCCGCTCAAGATCATAATTCGGGAAATGCCAGTGATGTCAATGACTTTTCCCAGTAGAAACGAAGCACCCATAAATACCTCTTACAGATTTCTGTTGACACTCTGCTCACCAGGGGAGCGGAGTTTGTGTTGTTGTCAGTTTCTGCATGGATATTGCTATCTACTCTGAAACATTTCGATGGCTTAGTCGAGTTGGGGCGGGCTGTACACCACCAAACATCTTGACAACTTTAAAAGCACTGATCGTCTCTTCGTTTCATGGACATCATTACTCATTGCGATCCCCTTAAAAATTTCAAAAAGAAATCTGGTTGAAATGATGGCGTTTTAGGAATTGCTGTTGGTAAGATGAGAATATTAAAACATGGAAACATAATAGTGGTGTGGGTGGTGATTACCCGGTACTAGTTGGGCCTACATGTCGTAAATTTGAAGTTTGGACGTGTTGAGGATAGAAAATGTAATGATAGTCGTGAGAACGACAGAAAGTGTGCATTTGACCGATTCATCATCACGTCAGCCCAACCAGCAAGTTTTCGCATCGATTTCCAAAATAAATACCACACTCCGTTTGAACAAAGCTGCTCATTACGTGACCGTTCTCAGCTGTTACTTTAAAAATCTGTATCCCGACATCTTTGGGGGATTCTGACGGATGGAAACGAATATTGTGATAAAAAAGTCATCGATATCGATTGTTCGATGAAACCTTGCAATAATTCAACAAGATGAGGTGATTATTTCAAAGGCCTTGGCCGCCATATGGGATTGTTAAACTTTGGCTAGTTTGGTTGAACTCAGTCCTGGTCATTTTTTCCTCAGTGTACTGCGCTCCTGCCTGTGGGGTCCATTTTCAAAGTTGTTATATAATGAATGGAAGGAGACAGGTGAAAAGAATTAGCGGAAATACGGAACAAAGATTCGGTGTGAAAACAAACAGTGTTGTCTGCGGAGAAAATTTATAGTAAATTCAACAAAAGTCCAGGTTTCTGTGACAATGCATGGCCAATACAAACATGTCCGTCATTGTCCCTCCAGCATGTTTCCCCAGCGGAAGTTCCCATCTTTGTTTCGTATACATCCTCTTTAATCTCCCGTGTACTATCCCCTCCCCGTCCCCCCTTCTGGCACGTGGCAAGTGCGGGCCACGAATTAGCATAGTAATCACCGGGAAGAGATTTCGACTGTTTGCCCGGCACGTGCCGGTCTTGAGTCCTCGCGAGCCACGCGGGTCGCCGGTGGCCCTGCGTACGTACTGACCGCCGCCCTGGTACGGTACACAACAATCACACGCCGCTAAAAACACTGCACACTGACGTCAACAAAACAGGATAATTGTCAAAATTATGCTTCCGCTCCCGGCGACCAATCATTGAGGACGCGCTATACTTTCCAGTGTTGCATATGTATGACCTCCACAAGTCATTATTAATGCGCCTCCTTATAGTGCCTCCCCTTCGTATCACGTTGTGAGCTTGCCACTCCTGCTGATTTGTGCGGGAGTTCAGAAGGATTTTTTCTTTCCCCTCAGAACCAGGGGCCTTATTTTCCTTTCATCTCCCTTCCGGTGTTGCGTGCCGTTGAATCTAACCTTTAAAATTATCATCAACCTCGATAACACACAACAAGCATAATCCTTCCAGATGGTGTGGTCACTGGCGAATAATTAATAAAGTAGTCCCGTCAACGACGAGTCGACAGCGGATAAAACCAGGCGCATTTCACACGCAGCTGACATTCAATGAGACAGACGTCAGTGCGCTTGCAGACTACGCAAAAGCCACAACACACTACTGGAATATCCCACATACACGCGCCTTGCCTGCACAACAACGCAGCTGTTCCAAAGTCTTTCGATCCGCGGGGAAATCTGGATTGGACCCGTAAATAAGTGAGTATTTTAGTTTTCAAATAAATTTCTTTAAAAAGTTTTTCTATTTCTGGCATGTGCATTTCATATGCTTCCATTTTTCCTCTGTGTTGTTTTGTTTTATTGGTAATTTTTTTCTCCAATAATAATATCATCTTATATTTTCTCTTCATTTTGCGGGACATTTTAAAGCACAAGTTTTGACTTTTAAGCTTTTTTAAACAAAATTCTCAGCAGGTACTGTTGGTACAGGCTTTTGAAAAAAAAGTGTCTTGCAGCGTTATGCCAAGTCATGGGTGCTGTATTTCAACAATGTTTAAAAATCAATACCAATATCAAATTATAATGGAACTAACTTTCCCTTTAAAAATTTTGGAGAAAAAAAATATATATACATAAGACAGGGACATCCTGTTGAAGAAATTATTCACTGGTTATAGTATTCAGTCGTTTTGTTTGTAAAAAATGCGAAGTGCGAGGGCTCGTACTTCAGGATTTTTTGCGTGGAGATGCTCAGGGTATTATGATTCTGTTTGTCGAGTGAAGGCCAGCATGGATGGGGTCGCCTCATGCATGGATTCCCGCTAGCGGCTATTTCGGATTTGCGTTACGACGGGTGGAATAGAAATTACTCCCACGCACGCTGTGCGTCCATGCACTGTGCCATATGGAGCGCAGTGTGGCAGTTACCAATAATATACGATGATACGGTTTGAATATTGTCTGTATGGTGATAGATTTCAGGAGCGTGGTAACAAAAGACAACTGATGAGTTTTCTTTTTAAAAAAATGGCATTATGATCTGGTGATGTTTGGGACCAAACTAAACAGGCTATTTTTATGATTATTATCTATGATTACTTAAAATAAAATTTGATTCTTTGTCGATTATAAATATCATATAAGCTGTATCCTCTTATGAAATTTATACTCTGATGGAAAGCTTTGATGAGAGTAATGACCGAGAATTTATTTGGCAGTGGCGAAAAACCGCTTTATATCCCGTTAATTCTAGGTGATATTTTCCATCATTTTACATGGTTTTCCAAAATTGAAAAAAAATATTAAACCTTAATGTTGAGAACACAACTTGTCAAGAAAATCTTCAAGCCAACGCAGGTGACTTCATAGTAATCATGCACTAAACCAAAGCAACACCACCCTGAACAAATCACGTATAGCAAAGGCCCTGATACGGCGAGGCATGAGTACGGTTGTGTAAAACTGGCAGCTATTTAAGTGAAATCAGCCAATGTGTGGAGGCCGCGAGCGACCTTTAATATCGACGGACCTCACGCGGGAAAATCCAGAGAGACACTCGCCGATGAATAAGGCTTCCTTCAGGGGCTGTTTTTGGACTGCCAAGTCATTTCTTAGCCTCCCACTCCAGTCTTTCTTTTCGAGTGGCGTCGTGCCTCGCTTATTACCCGCTAGGCACGGACTCCCGCTGTAAACGAGCATGTGTCTGAGTCTATCAAGACAAAGTTCTCCGAGAGTTGTCTCTGGAGATCTGGCCTGGGGAGGGGGTGAATCAGACGACAAGGTCCACGTCCCAAATTTAAACCAAACTCCCGGTGGTCGCGATGTGTCACTCTTGTCCAGGGTAGCCCCTGTACCGCGTGCCAATGACAAGCACAAGGAACCAGGGTCATGTTGGGCTTACTCACAAATTTTAAAGAGATTGTGAAAATTGCTTTGAAAGGTGACTTTATGTTAGTACACAGCTTTATGGAAATGGACAAACTACAGCCATTTACTTGAGGTTCTTAATTAAAGGGAGAGTGACAAAATTTCTCAGACTTAGGCCTTTCTTTTGTTACCATAGATCAGTGTACTATAAGTTTCCTCTTAATAAATTTAGCTACCAAGTGCCTTTTACGTCAGCTAAATAATCTGTGTTGTTGGACGAGGGCGGGCTTTTCTACTTATCCTAAACTCAAGTTAATCCAGTTTGTCCAGGTTTATTGACTGTTTATGTAACTGAGAATTTCGGGTTTTTTTCCCTCGTCTTCCCTGCAGGTTTACACTGAAGTCTGTTGTCACTGAACACCCTCCCCCGAGCACCATGAAGGCAGAAATCCAATGCGCCATCAGCTTCATCCTGGAGCAGCTTTGCTCCAAGATTCCCCGCCACCAACAAGACCTTTTCGCCGATGAGCTCAACAAATCCCTCGTCGACAAATTCAACGGCCATTGGTACCCTGAATCCCCTTGCAAAGGCTCGGGTTACCGGTGCCTTCGTATTGGTACCAGGGAGATGGATGCGGCCGTCGCCACGGCTATCCAGAGCAGCGGGCTGGAGTCAGGTGACCTGACCGAGGCACTCCCGCACGAGCTGAGCATCTGGGTAGACCCCGGAGAGGTGTCCTACCGTATGGGGGAGAAGGGAACAGTCTCCGTCATCTATCAGGAGAAGCGCCCCAAGGCAGCTGGGCCGAGCCACGTGCAGAGCGAGCCGGATCTCACCGGCTCGGGCCAGTTTAACTTCAACCCCGAGGCTGAGGATTTCCTGCCAATGACGATGGACTCGCTGAGTTCCTCCATGAGAGGGATTTCACTATCGCCTGTGTCTGCTATGGGATTTCAGCCGATGGTGCCGCTGGGACTACCAGCCCCACACCATCAGCCTCTGCCCCACCCACAGGCACTTCATCCGATGCCCACTGCCGTCCCCACGCCGACACCGGTCACGGGCAAGTCTCGGCTACAAGCAGCCCCACTTTCCAGACCCTCCTCTCTCACCTTCACCGCGGCCTCCTTCGCCCAGACCAAGTTCGGCTCAACCAAGCTCAAGTCGACGGGAAAGAAAGTCAATTTCCAGCAGCTCTCTCCGACAGAATTCGCCAACTACATGAAGCAGCGGTCAGCGATGAAGGGGTTCCGCAGCCAACGTTCCCCCTCGGGAGGTCGAGATTTCCCGCTCTTCCAAAGCAAAGATGATGGGTTCGGCTATTGGGGCGAGACAACCACAGTGCCCCAGTCTTACGCTGCTGGTCCGGGGTTTGACTCCCAAACCAACCTCACTACACAAGGCCCCGAGTCCTGGATGCTGTACGACAGCCTGAATGCCTCACTACCGTCCACTGACCAGTATGGCCACCAGTCTCTGATTGCAGCCAATTGAAAGCTAGCGGTTTGACGTCTGGGTCACAACTAGTTTATGTCGAAGAAAAACACTTAACTTCCATTAAAAAAAGATAATCATGAAATAGACACTAAATTATTGTCTTTAATTTGGGTCGCTGTAACCATGGCATCTTGAACTGAACACCAGTTCATGTAAAAGCAGAGTTTCAGTTCAAGCCAAATTTTGTCCTTTCTCGCACCAAGGGAAATTTTACATTTTTCAGAATGCAACTAAGCCTCTGGCGGCTGTGCTATCTCACTGAGCCCTTTTGACTCAATCGGCTTTTTTATATTAATATTGATATTAAGTATATAGATGTACAAAAATCAAGTAAATAATTTTCACAGTGATAATATTTTTACATTGTTTCTCAATCTAAGTATCATATTTTTTTAAGTTGAAAATGTAAGCATTCAGAAATGTTCATGTTATTGACAGGACTTTTAAGCTGTAGACTATGAAACTTAATGAGTGACTTATAGCGGATTCGTATTATAAGCTATTCGGCGTCTGGATCCTAGATCACATGCGGTATGAGAAGGGCAAAAAGGGCAAACAGTGCAGTATGACTGGAATGCATGGGATAAGGTTTAGAAGTCCAAATGTTTCCCATCTGATGGAGAAAAACACATTCCACAATTGACTCAGTCAATCCCTAAACTTGCATCAGTCTTGTAATGGGCGTTCTGTTCCTTCAATATTTTGTCTGGTGGCGAGAAACGTATTCAGAGCAACCAAAACGACTTAGATAAGTGTGCATGAAAATGTTCCGATTAGTAGGCAGAAGCATCAGTCCCTTTTGTTTATCGAACAGACAACCTATTTTGTACGGCTGTTTCATCGGAATAACTAAATAGACCTTGGTGATGGGTTGGTAAAACGCAATATTACCGACACTGGAACAGCCGTTGGAATGTGCCCAGTGAAGAACTTGAATGAACGCAAAGAATGTCATGTACGGCTGTTTCATTTTAACAAACCCAACGAGGGAAGGCAGCGCACTCAGTGCGATAACAGAAATGCTATTTTGGACAGGAGTGGTATGGTATTTGAATTTACACGCTTGTTTTATGACGTTCAAGAGTCAACAGTGTGGAATGCCACCGATGCATTTGGTTCTTAGAGTCGTTTCTAGTAAAGAAAATGTTCGTGGACACAGCGTGTCATCGTGCATAGCTACCGTATCAATGGTATTGGTAATAACTGTTTAATCGTGCGGACACTGTGCATACCCTTCACTGAAATTTTCTTCACGTGGAAAAATAAAGTAGACACGCCGCTTTATTCCGCACTATACAGTTTCTTTGTCGTAAAACAATTTTTTCCCCTGACAATCAAACACTTGTGGGGTTTGCATTTGGGCCCTGTTTAGTAAATTTTGTTTAATACAAAATGTTATCACCATGAAGACATTTATAAAAATTTTGAAAACGGGACAGAGTGTGATTGTTGGATGGTTTCTTGCACCGAACGGCTTTGTAAAAAAGCGACTCGTACCGTGTTGTTAGCACTCAAAATTGTAATTGTTGCATAAAATTATCATGGTATTGTGTATGAATATAAAGTAAACACTCCACTTATTTCATTTACCATGTTTCTTATAATATTGTGGATTGAACTGGCGTGTTATATATTCACAGAGGTTCCATATTGCGTAACCATAGTAACAATAATTTGATATTTGGACGCATGACAAATCATACCAAAGCGTTGTTTTACTGTTGATATATATTTTTGTCTGGTATTTTGGGGATTTTGTCATTTGTCATTTTTCTATGTTTCATGGCCGAAACCTTGGAATCGTCGAGTCATAAACAATGGGAAAAGATTACGTAAAAAAATTAGCCTAACTTTGCAGAATTGTCTCACACAAAACAGTCGCTACTTCGTTTGTATACTAACACAACATGAGATGTCACAAATCTACTGTATTTGATACCAAATTTCTATTTTAGTACTTTCATTTGAAAAGAACTTAGATTTTGAGGTTTTAAATGCAATTTCTTACTATTTTGGTAATATTCTATGAAAAGAACATGTATAGCTCGATCACGAGGTTTGTATTGTGCAATAAGAGACGATTATGAGTGGTGCATGTGATCTGTACATGGTTTGATCAACTTATTTATAATTGACAGAAGTTAACATAAATTTGTTTTTTCAAATGAAGATCGTGTTTTGGTTCCTTTTTTTCGTTTCCTCCAAAGGGAATCGGGTCTGTTGCCTGTATAGGTCATACTCTGACTAAATCGCCCATGTAAACAACGGCATTATCCCACAATGCTATGACACTGAACGTTGGAAGGAAAATGGAAGCAGCAAAGCAAAAATAACTCTCTTTTTAAAGGCAACAACAGTGTGCTCTAATAAAATGCAGCGACAGGAAACTACAGATAAGTTAACACCTTATAAGGACGACGTTTCCTCCTTGGGTTATTGCAATTGTTTCAAATTGTAGTTTCACTTAGGTAAGACGCAAAACGAAGTACGCCCTCCGGGTTGCAATTCCCCCCTACGGCTGAGTCAATGCCCTCCGAGTCCTGAGCCGAGCGCGGTGCCTTTCTTTCCAAGCAAGTCTGTCCATAATATGCGAAACAACGTGCCGTATACCCGCCGACTTCGTCGGCTCTGTCCCGACCAAATGCCCATGCAGCCAACCAAAATTTAATCAAAGATTAGAAAGATGGCGTGCGTGCGTCGGACCCGCATGACATAAGTGTTTCCATGGGAACGGGCCATCTAAGAGATAATTCTGAAGGTTATCTTTACACCTGAACTAGCATGAAACAGCTTGTAATCACATGCCATCAATGGTGAGCACCAACGAGACACTGGCTGTTGTTGGCTTTTAAAGAGACGCGAACGAAAGCAACAAAAAAATTCCAATATTTTTCTTTGTAAGGATGCAGCGGTGTGCCAGTTCAGAATTTCGAACATAATTCGAACATCAAGAACACCTGAAATTCTGGGCAAGAGAAGTCTGCTCGTTTTGATTCAAAACTGTAAAATTATCATACAGGCCGCGACGAAGCGTTTGTATCCGTAGCGCCCTCTACCAACATGACTCACTCTAATGCCACCGTATACTTCATGACATCTTAATTCAAGTTAGATTAGCAGTCTGAAATGATATACAGTACATGTAGTAACGAAGACAGTAAAATAATCTCATCAGTTTGCACAATAGATTTCCACGCAGCAAAATGTCTCGGACATGGAGTATTCAAGAATCTGTTTGATGGAATTTCAGAATTTGTTTCCAAACAAACCGTTTTCATCTTGACCTTCTAGGTTGTGATCATTTATCAATGGATGTCTTCCTTAGCTGATTTGCGAAAGAACAATTCAGTTTGAACTCTCTCTCTCTCTTTAAATTTGCTGCCAACGCCTCCAGCTGGCTGGCCTCAGTGGGGGTCGTAAAATCTGCATGCTGAAACCACGGATGTTTGTTCAGAGCAGATCCTTTGCAGCGGATAGGGCGATCGCAGTGTACCGTGCCAGACCGCAGAGTTAAGTTGCCACCTCTTAAGACGGAGCAGACGAGATGTAGAAGTCTGCATCCCACCCACTCCCCATCACCCGCCTACTTACGTTACTATAACAGAAAAAAATTAGGCTAATACCACGAAACGAAATGACAGTTCCTGTGCTTGCACTGCAGGAGAAAGCATGTTCAATATCAATATTTTCCCCGCAAAATCCCAATTCACACCCCAGCCCCCCACTCCACAAGGCCTGCCTTTGGCACGTCTGAAGCCCCCACGGGTTCCTGAATTGAAGCTAGACCCATCACGACGGATCGATGCAAAATTTATGGTTCAGCAGTCAGCATCGTCGTTGTGACTATATTTTCAGTCAACAGAGGGCAGTATTTATTATTGAATTATGCACGTAAAAATAACCTGGTCAATATAGCATCTATTTGTATTGCACATAAAGCTACACCTTTATCAAATAAATAAAACGAAGCAAAGGCAACTCGGTTCATTCAGTCGTACCGTTTATTTGAAGTACGTTTTCAACAAAGAACATTTGAGATGCAGACAAGTACTTTAGACAGAGCAACTCTTAAGACCAATTCTTCTGTAGCACCTAAAATATCAGTACATTTTATGGCCCTTGTGGTTTTAACAATAAACTCCCTGACAGACCTTCATTCCCTGTTAACTCCGTACTCCGTCAGTCCAGTCTCTTTATTATTCCTAACTTGGTCTTCAGTCCGTCACTGATTGGATTTCTCCTGCAAGTTTGGCCCTCAAACAAGCAATGATTTTTTTTTAATACGGGCATTTCACAATGGTGCACTTCCAAGCGTTTGCGACGCGCTGGCTAACCACAGTCTGTCGACCCGGTGCACATTTGGAAAGGATCGACAGATTTTGTGCGTTGTGATTGGCCAACGCGTCGCGAACTCTTGGAGGCGCTCTATTGTGAATCACCCATATTGACAGCTCAAGTTTAAAATGGGTTCCGCTGATAATGCATTTTTTACTTGGTGAACATCCAGTGGTACTGCACACACGGCCACCGTCGTTGGCAAGTTTTGTCCACTCTGAAACTGGCGAAACTCATATCAGAAAATTCCACCAAGGAACAGGGTAGATAATGCAGGATGCAAAAATTGCCCTCCAAGAGGTACTGTATAAGATATCCCGACACTAGGCTGCAGCGTGTAAAAGGCTTTCATTCAGAAATGCGGCTCGGTCATGGGTGACGCTGCACTGAGAACGACGATTCGCATTGCCAGTTAAATACCATGTGATGACTGTTCCCGGCAAGGTATTAAGAGCACAACCCCCCCCAAAAAAAAAACTCAAACAGTCAGTGGTGTATCTGGCAGGGGGCAACTCCCCCCTCCCACGGTTTTTTTTTCACTTTTTATATTTATTTATCAAATATTTATTTATTTAACAATAGTAGTAAAACCCGAGGAAAACAACACCACGAAATAAAAGCAAGGATGTTAGGACCATGAGTGAAGCTTCTGATATTTTTGGTAATTTGATCTTTAGGCCCTACCAGAAGTTGTTGTTTTTTTTTTAATTTTGGCGAGGACAAATTTCAGGAGGCTGATCATGGCGGTAGATTTTTTTGGTCATAAATCCAGGGGTGGCGAGAAATATCTCGGGGCGTGACTGAACCAGTTCAAATGCATGAGACTGCGTGATTGGAAGGGAGGCCGTAAATCTAACTCTCTATTACCCATCGTGCTATATACATACAATTTTGGATGGCTTATGTAAATTTGTTAATTCATTATTCATCACACTCTCTCATGGGTGAAGATGGGTAGCCCTATACGAGTTATTTTACGAAGAACCCTTGCACTCCCCCTCATAAAGCGAAAATGTCAACACGTGAGATTGCCTCTTGATTAAGGCACTCAAAGCTGGAGGCGTTATGATCGCTTCTCCAGAAATACAGCAGGCAATTTTCAGTGCATCCAGCCTGCCTTTTAAAAAGGGCCATCAATAATCTCATAAAACAGCTCTCTCCATACAGCGGGATCGTACACTTCGTTGGGGTTCGCTCCCTGTTCTTTGCCAGCGACAACATGTGGGCGGAGAGGAGAAGTGAGGGGGCGGCAGCGCCTTCAAAACAACGCGACGAGTCAATAACAGCGGTGCCGCTTTCAGAATGAGATCGTGCATTCCCCATTGTGCCGATAATCTACTTGATCGGCGTATTGCTGGTCGGGACCCCGTCCGTCCGGGCTGCACACCTACGGGTTCGCCGAATCGGCCCGGGCTCTCCAAGACTCAAAGCAAATTGGCTCTTCGGTACTTGTCAACAACTTCTCTGCTTACGGCTGACCTTTTTAATGCACCTTAGCCGATTAGTCATCGTATACGACAATGTTGAAGAGAATAATTATTTATGAAGAAAATGAAATGAAACTGAGGATTTCACTTCATGAGACTGTCACAGGATATTTCGATTTATTTTTGCTTCAAAACAAAAAAAGGAAAAGACGAGGTTTGAAAGATAATATTCACTTTTATTTGAGTGATAATTTCCTTTAAATACCAGACACCGACACAAGCCCAAATCGGCACAAAATAACTTTCTTTATTGTGATACAATTTCCTTCAAAGGAACAACAAAAAACTACCAAATTCCTAACAGCAACTTCGAATCACGAGGTCGTTTTTTGAATTCGGACTTTCAATTCGCACGTGAAGATCATTCGGGTGACAAACCTCCTGTGGCGAACAAAGAAATCGGTGATCCCAATTTCGACTCCTTTATCTAATGGCACAGAACTTCAAGCCTCAATCTGGAGCCAGGTTGTGAGTGTTAAAAAATAAATGAAATAAGTTTTTCTCTTCTCAATAACGACATACCGGATTTAGTGGGCGTGCTCAGGTTAGGCTTGTCTGTTTGATTTAATCGGGGGAGGGGGAAGCGGCGATTCACTCTTTTTATGTGTTAAATTTCTTTTAAAATTTGGGTGTGGTACCTTCTGTAAAGTCCTGTTGCTTTGATTATACACTGACTCTGCACTTCGCCCAGTTGTTCATTCGTCATTACCAGTAATACACATTACAGCCAACACAATAACATACTCGAACTGGCTTCATTAATTTATACTTTGCGTCGGAGAGATGCCAAGTGTAATCATAGCTTCGTGAATTTAAAATACGAGTCTTTTGCATGGTCTAGATACGATTTCATGAAACGTATTGATATATATACATTAACAAAAATGACTTGCCTGCTGTTTATTTCATTCTTTTGAGAACCTGTCGACGAGGATTCTTCAACCTCGATCCCTCCCCAAGACTTACAGTACACTAAAGTGATGAAACAAGAAGGAAAATGGGGAAAAAACGCTGAATCAAACCGAGTCCTTTGTATCCCCCGAGCTGAAGTGCACCCCCAATCGGCGAAAAGAAAGACAGGTGGTCACAGGCGTGTTCTCTCACGCGTTCTGTGCGTGCGCAATAAATATGCCGGAATAAATAGTTAAGCGTACTCAGCGTACTCCGGGTCAAACGCCCAAATACTCGCCTGTGCGGTGAGTACCACTAATCTCTATGAGAATATTGTTTTTCTCAGTATTTTTGTTGTTGTTGTTGTTGTTGTTTTTAACGTCAAAGCGGGGGTCACATTCGGACGGATAAGCCTGAATGTCTGACGCTATACTTTGATGTATTCAACATTGTTCGTCCACTGAACCCGATGAATTTAACACGATAACATTTATAAAAAGAGAAATATCGACTGTTTGTCGAATGGCCCCTTTCGACTTTTTTGTTCCTAACTAGTCCTTGTGGTCAGATGCCGACGGAGAAACATTCAAGCCATGGGTGTGACCAGGATTTTTTCCAGGGCTGGGGGGGGAGCACTTATCAGCAGCAAACCGACAAACTATCACTAGAGGAAGGGGATATTCAGAGGTATTTTCAAGCACATTGTTGATTTCATCTCCTATCCTCTTTTTGTCATTTCCCCAGGGAGCGCCCCGTGTCCCCCGAATGCAAGGAAATAAGCTTCAGTGTGGGTGACTGAACTTTTTCATTTTTCGTTGGTGGGATATAATGTTTGGAACTGAGTTTTATTTGGCGATTCAGTCAGACAAACGGAATATCATTTGAATTTTAATATTTGCTCTTTACAAACGCACAGGATGAGTGTCTTCCAACCAACCCCGACGAGCTGCACTGTCAAGTAGGCCCAATGCGGCATATACCGGTAGACGTCTAGCTGTTGGATGCCACATATAGGCCTATGGGCAGGGGGACGACATAATACGTTCGTGTCTTACTCGCAAGCAGGCTTGATGACTTTTTCCAATTAAGGACAGAGCCTGCGACGCATATACGTTCTACGGTGTTTAGAGAAAATCACATTTTATAAAGGCAGCACCCAACATTAAACCATTTCATTTTGTTGACATGGATCACAAAATGAATCACAAGTCATGATCCCTTTCTGGCATTTCCCAGTCGTCATAAGATTGGAGTTGCCTTGCCTTTCTTTGGCTGGGGTAAACTGAATAGTTTGAGGTGAAAAAGCGGTACAAACTATTCGTGTAGTGTCCCCCGTTGCATTCAGTAGCCCGCATCCTGGAGAGACTGTATACTGGTGGTTGGCAGCATGCGCCTAAAGTTTGCTCTCGGGCCTGGAAAACTCCGAAGATTGCACTTCCAAACTGGATACCACTCGTGTAGCGTGCTTATCGAGACAAGAGCAATGTATCCCTTCAGTTGCCGCTGCTTCTTTCTCCAGCGTACTCGCAATTTCCAAAATAGCTGTGATTAGGCCTATTGTAACAGTAACAACAACCGATATATGGATTTCAGTGCCACATCCAGTTGCATATAAATAGAACATTTAATCACGGTAACACATTACAAGTGCTTAGCAACCGCGAAGAAGCAGGTGGTTTTTGCTTGGTTATTTGTCTAGATTATTCTTGTTTTAGGCAGTGGCACTAATAAATTACTGGTGTGTCTGTTAGCAATTTTCTCAATCATCAGCTTAAGCCCGGACCGGCGCCAATTGCATAAATAAACAGATGCTGCATAGTCATGTCCGGTCAACGAAATCGCGCAGAGCTGAGAACAGTTAACCGTAAGTCAAATCGAATATATCACGCCCAAGAGCACACTCGTGAAATTTTAGCGTTTTGTATTGCTGTTTGGAGGTTTAGTTGACCAAACAAAACAGGAAGCCCAAAAATAATTCTCAGAACTTTCCAAACTGATGCGGCAAGGCCGAGTACTACGTCAGACTCGTCGTTTGTGTCCAACGAGGACAACCATCTGGTTTTACATCGTCTGTCATCACCAAATGTGTTTCCTTACTACCTTAAGGATTCTAAAGGATAATATTTCAAGCATCACCGTCACGATCCTGCGTAGGTTGATCTTGCTTTAAAGGCTTCTACAGTCCTCACGTCCGCCTGGAATACTCGTTGCAATTGATAAATTTCACCATTAGAGTAAAAAATACCAAATAATTAACAGCGTCAGAACGCCCCCCCCCCGGAAAAGGTAGACAGTTTCTTGATAACTGTGCTTTTTCAACATAATTAGAATTCTCAGAAATAATGTATTTCCTGTCGTAATGAATTGCTCGTGTTTTTTATTGTTATCAAAATCATATCATACACTCTATGAATCTGGAAGATAGGCAAAAAGCTGTATTACTCTATAATGTTTTGTAACCAGCAAATGCGGATCTTAATCGGAGATTAATATTTGCTTTCAGTTTTGTTAGATTCTCGAAAAATTCAACCTTCAGTCCAAGTTGCACAACTTGAGGTCTGACAAATAACTTTTTTGTATCAAGAACAATGATTAGGAGTATTTTGTTCCTTGTTAAGGTTCCTGTTTGGGTTCCCGTTCGATCCAAAACACGACAAAAATGTTTGGTGCACAACAGAAGTTACAAATTTAAGGCTCAAATGTGGTTCTGGTTACAGTGGTGTAAAAACTCGACCAATTAGACAAAAAACACAAACTTCAGTGCACACATAATACTATTAATTTTATTCTCCAACAGACAATTTTGCTCTAAAGACATCTGATATCTCATTAAAATCACGGGGATAACGAAGTGTTTTCCTCTTCTGATGAAAGAAGGAAAGATGAAGTAATTCATTTGAAGATTTTTCTATTGTCAGTTCTGCCATTGTTCGTCCTATCCCAACTGGACTGAAATTTACCAGTATGATGTTTCAACAAAACTACTGAAAAAAAGACAGAAAAACAGCTATCAGAATTAAATCTTTCTCATTCGGCTATAACCGAAGACAACTCTGAAATCAGATTTGACTTGAATACATTTTGAGTGCCACAGTTTATCTGAAAAGCCGGACATTTCTCACACTTTCACAGTATGTACACAAAATTTACATATCAATAAAAAAGGGCCCTTCATGCTAAAGCTCGATTCAAACTTGATTCCTCCAGCAATCAAGTATACATGCTCTAAACTTTTAGGCCCATTTGTACGGTAGTTGTGGGGAATTACGCAGGTACTGAAACATATGGTAAGTTTGATCAGGGACAATTTATGAACCACCAGTCGATTCTGCCTGGTGCCCTGTATATATTTCACGCGTAGGTTACCCGGCAAAGTCGACTTTGGGTTGACCGTTTGTCAGCGATCGAACTTGCCAATAGATATTGTGGGGACAGATATTTAATGGGAACGTAAGGTAAGGCTGTGTCCGAAACGGGCTACCAGAGCTACGGCTAGGTCTACTGTCTGAATGTCTCTGCGTATTTCAAATGGAGTGAAGACTTAGACCTAGCTCTAGACAACAGATTCGGATTCAGCATTAGGTATTATTTTTGAAACATCTGCTGGTAAAAAAAGGCATTAATAAAGATATTACACACATTTTGTGTATGGATGACCAAAAACACAATGTAAGCAAAGCATTTATTGCCCGAGAAATTGAGTCGACAGGATAATTGCTATCTGACACCAATTTTAGACAACCCGCGTCTTAGGATGAACAAAACCGATTATTATGACAATAAAATAAACTCCCTATAAAACAGACAAAGGGCAACATTTGCAATACATAGTTTAACATATTTTGTTCCAAAATCTGAAAAGCCCAAAATTGATGAGTTTAATTGGTGCAGGTTCTTTTTGTTGAGTACTAAATGAACTTTTGCGACCCGCCGCCTGACTATTTCAGACACTTTTCTCTTTTATTCTCCTTTCAATAGAAGTCTTCGCTGGCCTTAGGTTTGAGAACACCTGTTGCCTTCTGGTTCTTAATCTGATCTTGGTTGTTGTAGAGACTTGCAACCTGGAAGAAGCAAAGTAAATTGAATCAAACCAGATAAGCAGAGTCATATCTGTGGATTCATAAAAGAAACCACATGGACCAACCCTTTTCCACACAAATGCATTCTGAAGTTCAGTGTAGGGGGGGGTTGTCTGTCCGCCTGCAGGGGGGTTGTCAAAATATTTAGTGTATTTATCGCTGTCATTGAAGTAGATTGATCTGGTTTTGTCCTAAACCGAATCTGCGAGTAAGATCCCTGCAGGGCTTACACTTTTCAGGGGGCCTGACATCTTTAGATGTAGGCCGCTAGAAAAAAACTTGGCAATAAGCAGGGTTTTGTAACCTCCCAATGGCCCCCTCCTCTGGATCCAGGTCTATCTCTTAGAGGTGTTAGACCAATCAAAGTCTGTGGATTCAAGCCCCCCTTCCATGCATAATACTACACTGTATTATTCAATTTTCCTGGCATGGACTGGCATTAGACTGCCACCAAGGGTGGACCCAGGGGAGGAGCCATGCCCTCCCCCAATAAAAGGAGCCGTTTTTTCTTTTTGAATAAATAATGGAAGGCAAAGTTTTTGGTTATTTTCACTTCCCTTCCTTCAAAAAAGCATGTAAAAAAGCCCCTGAATGTAGCCCAATCCCTCAGAATGTCCATAAAAGGTTACACAAAAAAGGTTTCTATATTTTTGGCCCCTGCCCCCCACCCACAAAAACCTGGCCCCTGCAGATAGAGGACTTGCATAGCATGCAAGCATTCAGATCCAGCGGATTATCAGCAGGGACACAATGTGCTCCAGCACTCCGCTGCACGCTAATCTGGCCTCATTTGAAAAGACACTACTGCCATTCAGCAACACACTGCGCCAATTTCAGGAACAGAGGAAATTGTGCAACAATGCACAATCTGGGCTCTCTTTACTGGGTGGCAGGCCTGGTTCCAATACTTGGGTATCAATGGAGGTTGCCTGTCAGATTAGGGTAGCCACCAGACAGTCATTCGTGTGGGTGTAAACAACCAGTGAATGAAGTTATGAATTATTGAAGAACTTTAAAAACAGAAAATCTTGAAAATCGTCCAGGAACTTGTTGTCCCGCATATACAAATTCCATCCAGCAGGAAGTGGTTATGATGTCCTTCGTATGTTGGCCCCTTCCCCTCTGCCCCTAAACAAAAACACAAACAACCTCCAAACAAAAACAACCGCCAAAGTGTTTTTCTGCACCAGTATTCAAGCTCATCTGGTACCCTTTTTGAAAGCTGTATGACAGCTACGGGCAAGCAAGTTACAGACTAGCATGAGAAATACAACAAACTCTCCCAATACATCTTGTTTCTGACCCCCGACCCTCTCACCTGTGAACTGTTGGTGGCTTCTTCTGGCTTCTTGTCATCTCGCACTCGCAGGAAGCGAGGAAATCGCAGGGAGATACCTTTCTCAGGGTCGACCTAGAGGGCAAGAGAAGAAGAATAACTAGTAAAAGAATTTTACAGATTTTACAAATTGCTCAAAATGGGGCCCCATGCACTGATCTGTTCCAAGAGATAAGCACTGGACTACATTACATAATGCCAGATAGATGATGTGGAAAAATTCCCAGCAAGATGAAGGCATGCCCTCAATAGTGACAGAGAGACAAATGTTACAAGCACTTCCACTGTTCCACTGTCCTAATCCAACCAGCGCCTATGCACTGGTTCTACATTTATGCACATTCCAACCAAAATAAGATATGCATACTCTGTGTAGTAGCATCTACTGTTCACTGTACAGATTCCAGAATTGATTCAGGAGAGACACGGCGTAGGTGAATCATTAAAACCAAGCACAGTTTTACAATTTTCCGTCTCCTTTAATTTTGGGCTTAAGCATTTCATGCCACAGCAATTTTCTAAACCATGTGATTTTAATGTTCCATATATAGCTTGTTGGCTGCAATGAGTCATGAAAGGGAATTCGTACAGAGTACTGCAATTTCTTTGTGATAAAATAAAAATTTCATGTAAATATTGATATGTTAAAATGAATTTGATTTAACGTCCAGGTGAGCACTTTAAAATTACCAGATGAACGACACAAAATCACTTCTGAAAAATCAAAAGTTTCAAGGGTTTAAATAGCCCTTTTCTCCTCAGAAAAAAATGTAACATTTGTGACAATCCTAAAAAAAAAACCCACTTTATGGGAACGTGAAAAGACTGCTCGGACTTAGGAAACAAGTTTGAAGTTGAAATAGATGTAGAACTAAGGTTTGAAAGACGGCATGGGCAGCTTTAAGAGGATCAAGACAAGAAATAAACATGCTGCGTCATGTAAGATTATCATCAGTCTTTCATAATGGCTCTCAATGATATTTTTGTGGAGATGACTTACAATGCCGATGGCTGCCCGGTGAGTTGGAGAGACGGAGAGATCAGCCGCTTTGACCTCCCACACCTGAACAGCATCAAACCAGTGGTCTGGGGTGTGGCTTGTGTCGTGACGGTAGTACGGGCGGGGCTTGTCTATGACATGGGCCTTGAAGAACTTGCTGTGGGTGTCCAACTCCTCGTCTTTGAGACCAGTGCCAATCTGCAAGGAGGCGGCATAAGAAGAACGCAGTTAACAAGAGGCAGCTTGAGAAGAGTGAAGCATTGGGGGAAGGCACAGAAATGGACAATGGTGGTCAGTGCAAGATGAGCCATGAAATCACTAAAGAGGAGTTTTGCCATGCTTACAGTAAAACAAGAAGCTCCAAAAATTTCTTTAGAATGCAGAACTTAAATTTGGCCATATAGCCAGACATGGTAAAAACAGAAGTCATTAAAAAACTACTGATGAAATAAATTGCATTTGACAGGCAACAGTTTAATTCAGGGGGGGGGGGGGCTCCAGCTACTTGAATGACTAAAGACACAGTCCAAAGGCTTAATATGAACCTGCAGACTTTAAAACTGAGTTCTTGAATGGAACTGAATGTTCAGCTGCGGCGCCACAACCCTCCAAATTTCTCCACCAGCCCATGACTATTCCAGTATTTAGAGCTGTTTGCCCACTTCTCACCTTACAGATTGTCTGGAACTCTTCATTCTCATCGTCGTAACAGGCCAACAGGAAGCCCCCATATGTTCCCGCCCTTTTGCCCCGCCCATGGTAGCCACCGATGACAACAAGGTCGAGAGTGTCCCCAACACCTTCTAGGTAGTCCTTCTTTAACTGCAAAATGACAAAGTTGGGGTTAAAACATTTACATAAAAATTAACGTTGGCAGTCGTCAATTATTTTCAACAAAACAGGTATACTGCTACTGGTACTGATTATATTTACAACTTTATTGCATCATTTAATAAAAGAATGCGTATTTATATTTTATTTATTTTTAATATTATACATGACAGCAAACCTCAGGAGCAAAACACGCAAGAAATGTCACTTACTTTCAACCAGTTGTGTGAGCGGCGAGCAATTTCATAGGTAGCATCCTCGTCCAATGTTTTCACCATCAAACCTTCGCAGTTTCCTTAGAATCCGAATACAAAAAGAGCCTGTCATTACAAACAACACGCTATAACAGTTCCGAAGATCAATTTATTTTTGAAGCCACACTAATGGCACCCATTTTTTCGTGCCTTTTCAATGACTTTCCAGGACAACTTGTTTCCTGGGATTCTCTAGGATTTTCATGATGTGGGAACCCTGCTCTCCTTGGTTTTGGAGGATTTGATCACACAAACTTGACAGCCCTTGAAAGTTCCAGACCCACAGAGGTGGGACATGGAGGATGTCAGAAAGTTCTTCACCAATGTTTATAACTGTCAAATGCATCGGACAAAAAGCAGAATAACCTTATTGAAAACTCTCTGGCTTATGAATGCAACCACATAAAAATATTCCATTGCAATGGAATGGGGGAGGGGTTCACATCCAACTTGATAGTTGGGCTGAAGGTGAAAGGGTCATCAGAGCAAGCTAAACTGACTGTAGGTAAAGGGTCAAAGGTCAGAAACAAACCAAAGCTGTTTAGGTTATATATACAACTCTCTGGGCCATACCTTTGATGGACTCATCAAGGAAGGAAGCAATGTCTTCTGTATCCGTGGAAACCATGGACTTGGCAAACATGAACTCTCCCTCAACTGGGGTGAAGTGAGAGTTGAGTAGCTCCCGCCTCTTGCGAAGTGTCTTTGTCACAAGAGACTGGGATGAAAGACAAGGCATTAATCAGTGTAATATCTGCTAAGTGTGATTAAGTCCCATTTGTTAGAGGTACAGCCGATCAGTTGTAGTTATCCAAAAAGTAACCGCCAAAATTATTGCTGAAGGGCATACTTGGTTCAGAGATGATTATTGGATAAACTCCCTCTGACATTATTCCTCCTGGCAAGCTGCCATTTTGAAGAATGCAATGAAAGAAGGCCATTCCCAAGTGACGAGTCTACAGACACACCATTTGAAAATTGCCATAAGAAGTGCGTGCAAGTACTGGCAGGGCACACACACATGCGCGGTTACTATAATGCATCTGTTCAGTGCGCAGCATCATACAGCAGCATTTGACTGAACACCAGAACGTGTCCCAGACACTGAATGCAGGCAAAGTTCAAACCATGACTCAACAACTTTGATCAAAATAAAAATCCTAGAATATTGTTTTTCTCGGAATATACAGTATTCACTGAGCTGAAACTTCATCAGATTTGTTCTCAGGCAACATTATTTAGATTTTGAGCAATTTATTGGCTAAAAAGAACATAATAAACAAACAACAAATGATGGACTGTACCTTTAAAACTTGAGTGTTCAAATTCAAGGGAACAAATTACTCTACAGAAAATACACAAGAATGAAACTAATAAGCGGCCAGGGCTTTCATTTTTCTTTTTGCAAGAATTATCAGAAACCTGTAAGCAGTAAATACAAAGCACGATCAGATATTCTTCAAATATCTATTTAAAAAAAAAGCCGTTTTTTTCCCTTGATGTGTAAATTACAAATCTATGTGTCCAAATATAAAACTTAACCCCTTGACACAAGGATTCTTCTGACCGCGACTGCTGGGCTGCGGTATGCCCAATATGCAAAGCTCTGTCCAGCAGCAGGTCCACTTTGAAACTGCAGGTGCATGATGAATAGAATGTATGTGTTGTATGCACTAATCCTTACACAAAGCCGCGGCAGTAGTCGTCTGTCAGTGTTAAGGGGTTAAATGAAGAAATAGGGCTGCCTCTGCAGACATGGCAACTCCAACTTAATCATTCAAGTACATTATAATACAAGGAACACGTAATTAATGGAAATGGTACTTCAGTGAAATGAAACATCAAGACAGGTATGTGTATCAACTGAGTCCTTTTAAATAATTTGCTGGAAAAAAAACGCTGGGCTAGATGAAGAAAAGTATCATGCATTAAGACACTGTTTCTCACTAGACAAAACAACAGAAGAAATTCATCAATGAAAATCTGGAAGGTCTTTAACTTTAGAACAAAATGCAAAAACATCTCAATCATGTGCAACCTCTCTTTCGGCCCCTCTTCTTTCGACAAGGTTAAATGAATTGGACTTTTTGTTTTAATTCTATTCGGTCTACTTTGTCCTGCACGGCCAATAAAAGAAATCAAAATTTATGAATGAGAAATCTTGGCCTTTGAGCCAATGACTTATGCAGAGAATGTTGAGATCTCAGATGCCAAAGATAATGGACGAGTAAGCCCTTCGTGAAACGGGGAAAGAAAGAACAGCCAGTTTATCAGGAAGCTAGCCATTCAAATAAGGAAAAAACAAGAGAGCTAATATGGCTTTCATTAAGCCTAGAGGTAGGTCAATCAGCCATATTTATCTACTGCAAAACTGACAAGGCAGTAGGTCTTGAAAGCAAAATTGGCAGCCAGCTAGCTGGCTAAGTCACCAGCTAACAATAAGCCAGCCACCAAGTCTTTTGTGATCTGCGCCAGTAGGCCTGGCAGGGAACCCAGCCAGTCAGCCAACCAACCAGATGTTATGAGACCAAGCATACTACCTCACCTTCTTACAATCTGTAAAAGGCACTGCTAGATAGCACGCCCAGGCAACCATCAGTTAGCAAACAGTCCGTATGTTGGATACCCAGCAAGTAACAGCAAGATATGTGACAAAGGGGGGCACCACCGAAGTGACGCATAAGTTATATAACCTAAGGCTATTGTACCTACTGCGCCCCTCTTGAAAATCTGGAAGAAGTCTAAAGATTATAACACAAAAGAGGGGGGTCCTCCTTTGTCACATACTGTGCATCATATGAAATGTTGTCCCATATATCCAGTCTGCCACAAGCCAGCCTGACTACTGCACCAACTGACATGCCAGAAAACCAAAATCCAACCCAGATTTTCCAGGAGGAATATATGACAACCATCATTTTGCAGTGGAAAGTTGTTTCATATTACAAACTGGCTGACTGCCGTAGCAAATACTACAGACTGACAAGGATAGCTTGTAAATTTATCGTTCTGTTGTCACATTAAAAGTGGCACATCACAAATAGCCCTTGCATAATCTTCATTTCCATGACTTTACAGGATTTTCCATGACATTGGGAACCCTGAAACTAATATGCCACACATCAACCGGCCTGCCAACCAAACCAGTGCGTCAGGCTTACCTACCTCCTCATTGAGAAAGAGCAGATCAAAGACGAAGAGGCAGACCTGGACCTTGATCTCTGCTTCCGCTGCATCCTTTCGCTTTCTGGTACTCAAGACTTGGAACGGCAGGATCTGCTGATTCTCACGATCCCATGCCACGGCTTCTGCATCCAGAACACAAGTCTTCACCTAAACATCAATCATGGAGCCAACAGCTGAAATCAACCTAAGAATTAAAGGCTCTTAGAAGCATGAAGTTGAAACTTAACACAAAACATTTGTTTACCACTTTTTAGAAAACATGACAATTATTTTTATGTGGGTAATTCCAGAAATTTGGGGATTAAGATTTTTTTCGCATCCCTGTCACATCTGACATGTGATTTTGTAAATTCAGAACACATTTTCTAATTTCCAAGAGTGATGAATTAATGCACATTACCTGCCAAACAAACAGTAACAGTTTGAAATAAATTCCGGTGATATTTCCATGTCAAATAACAAAGGTCAGATCTAACAATGATACAAAAATTTCACACTTTTGGACCCCTAATTTCTGGAATTACCCAAGTGCCTTTTTGCAGGCATGAACTTACAGATTTTGACAAAAAATAAGGAAAATACAATCTTCACAATATTCTTTATGGTGTGTTTCAATTTTCACTGGCATGAGTGTGAAGTGAAACATGAGGAAATCAGCTGATCCAAGAAAAAGTTGCATGCCTGCTTTTTGTGGGTAGAAGGGTGAATTCTACATTTGCCAAACTCCAAACTCAAACTGGCCAAAGCATCTGGAGCGAAAATGACGACAAATTCTTACTGGATGTTGTAATGTCAGGTTTTAAACACCAGTCTGTGGATTTCAAATTTTTTTTCTATTATCCAATCAAATTTACCTTTTCGGGATCATAGGCACTGGGCAAGCGCTTGATAATATCCGGGTATTTAGAGGTGTTATTCTCCTGATTTCGACTGTAGATGTGTATCTTCCTGTTGCCAAGAAGGTGGATCTTCAAACAAAACAGATAAAAAATATTAACCCTAAAAGGGCAGAAACATCTGAATTCTAATTTCATTTTTCATGCACTCAGGTGGCGTCAGGTTAAATGATAATGAATCTGTTAGGAAAGAAACAAAGCATTAACAAAGCAAACCACATACAGATGAAACTAATAGTAATATTATTATGAAACAACAGACAGAATAATGGTACTGACGAGAAAAGATACTAGGATTGACAAGGGAACAAAAAGTGGATACAAGACCTTCAATCAGTGAGAAAAAACAACAAAGGCAAAATGCTTCCACCAGCTCACACCTCAAAACAATTTGCACATTCGTAACCTTTTCATATGAGATTAAATTTGTTGTTTTTTAAGCGTCAATCTTAAGTAAGAACCTGTGAGAAAAACTTCCTGAGTAAGAGCTTATGACTTTTGGGAAAATCAGAAATAGTTTACAATGTAATGACACATCACATCATCTGTGTACTCAATATTTGACTAAAATCCTGTTGCTAACCAGCACTTTCAGCTCTAAAGCTAGCTCAAGTCAGGTTTCTAGAACTCAACTCAACTTTCCAGCTGAATATTTGGAGTGTGAGGTAGACTCACCTGTGCCCTCTCCCCATCGTACTTGTACTCGCAGGTGAAGGCCATATTTTGGAAGCGATTCAGGACCTCCGACACCCCCTTGGTGGGGTGCGCCAGCATGGGCTTGAGGGGGATGCCAGGGGTCAGCTTGCAGTGCTCGGGTAGGTTTTCATAACCGTGCTCAAGCAAGGCCGGGATGATAGCCCCATAGTTTGGAAGTTCACTGCAAGTTCCCAGGAAATAGAACACCACAGGAATTACTACCCCAGTGTGACAAAGTGACATTAATTCCTTTCTTTATTTTTTCAATCAAGTGTAAAATAACAAGTGTAATAATAAGTCATTGACAGAGTTGTGACATGAGAGTCTTCAATGTTGGAAACAAACTGGCATACAATAGCCGCACAGTCTACGGTACACATAATGAACAGCCATTTTGTTTCCAAATCTGAAGCTGGCACAACTTTCTCTCTTTATACATCTTTGGAAATAACAGCCTCATGATAACCCATAATGCACAGCTCACTTTGGCTGGTACACATTCAACCAGTCCCCTGACAAACTGGAGAGTTCAGAATGCAAGGAAGTAAACAAGTAAATTCTGTGAACGAGTGAGGACGTACCATGACCTCATGACATGAAGACATGTTTGAAGCCAAGCTATCCCCAAAAGTTTAGAGTTTATACACAAATTTACTCAGACATGGTTCTGTTTTCAGTTGTCATACACAAATTCGTAAGTTTACACATAGGATCACAGCATGTCAAAATTGTAATAAGAATGCAAGAGATTCACTGCTGCACCATAGTGGCAAGTTACAATGGTAACAGGTATCTTACCAATAGGTTGTCTTGATGATCAGTGCTGCATCGTCCATCTTCTTCTTCAAAGCGTCAGATACTTTGCTCTTTGATAAAACACTATCCACAGCTAATACAAATTAAAGAAAACGGTTTGCAAAATTGAAATAATCTCAGTATGAAACAAAGAATTAGACAGAAAACTTAAACTTTCGCTTTTAAACTTATCCTAAGAGAGATGAAAGGCATCCGATATATTTTTGTACCTATTCCAGGGGGAGAAATGACGGCTGCATGACCAATGGCAACGAGAACTGACTGTTCGGCAAGACCGATGCGTAGTTTCCCACCTAAAGATCTGTCAGTAAAGAGCCAAGAATTTTAATCAAATAGTGTCGCGGTTCTACAAGGATTTCATAGTTTCTTCAAAGATGTCATGAAAATTAAGACAGATGAGAGATAGAGACCGGCACGTACCACGAAATAAAACCCAAACACTCCATCCTAATGGTCCATAATTTTCCAATTTCAATATTTTTTCACACACTCTGGGTGTTAGGAATCTAGAGCAGATGTTTAGGACCACAAACCACATCGCTACTCTAAAACTTCAAAGTTTCAAGTTTACAATCTTGGTAAATCATCTACTGATAAAATATCTGTTTATAAAAAGCATATATGATTTTGTCTTAAAGTTTAAATCCCCTGAAATATATAGACGTCAGAGTAAAAGCACTGGTCTAAAGAAAACATGACTGTTGTGACCACTTTAATGTTAAAACTTTGGGTTTATAATTGGAGAAACGTTCTAACCTGATGATGTACTTGGACTCACAATCCCTGCAGGCAACTAGAAGACTCTTAATCTTCTCAATCTTCCTAGACATGGACTGAAACAAAAAAGTTGGTGGTAAAATAAGTTCCTTAGCAAACTCAAATGTTTAACTCTTCATTGTAATACTGAAGAAAATTCATCACTTTTTACACAACTGTGCCAAATTCAAATCTGCTGTCACCATACAAGGCACTTAGACATGAAATGAAGACACGACATTCAATTTGGCATACAGTGGATACCATATACATGCAGTAAATGCAGTAAAACCAAGAAAGAAAAGAATCTGTTAATTTTTCTAAATGGGCCAAGTGGACTCACAGCATTGCCTGACATTGTGGCTATTTCTTTCAATGTATTGAAGACCTTCAGCACTGTCAGCCTGGCTGGGGTGAACATCGTACGCTGGTTGCTGCGGCTGCTCTGTTGATTCCAACAGTTGGTTTTCCAGTATTCAGACAGAGTCAATTATCGCCTGATCACAACTAACTTCAATTCCTATTATTTTGTTACTTTTCTGTGTAGCTGCAAGATTGCTCCTAGGATTTCAAACTCGATACATTCTGACATAAATGTAACTTTCGACCAATATTCGGGTGGTATTAAACATTTCAGGATCAAGGCAAAGACAGCGTGTACATTTGCCACCGTCTATTCAGGTGTGAATATAACACACAATAGCTAGGGCCCTGTTCATATGTACATACTTCTCCTGTTAACAGTTCCATGAACTGTTCTTGGGCAACAATGCTGTACTAGTGCTTATTTGAATAATGAACAGGATCCTCGTGCCTCATTAAAAGCAAAATTAGCAATCGATATATGATGATGGACAAGTGAAAGTTCAGCTCTCGATCCTGAATATACATGAGGTAGGACAATGTCAACCTCCTCTACCTCGAAAAAATTCCAGCACAACAATAAATTGACAGCTGTTGTCCAGAACCCTTCCCCAACAGTAAGGCTCATAACCACTATGGCTCATTACAACACTGACGACAAGCTCAATGACACCCCCCCAAAACCAAATATAAACCCCAAAATTGAACCATCAATTCATAAAAAAGCACCTGTTTGAATTTTGAACAAACCTGTGCAACGAGTCCCAAGTCACCCTGTTGTGCAGCATCAGCTTTTACTTTCTCCACTGTGCGCCCTGAAATAGACCAAAACATTTTTCAGTTAACAATCTAAACTTCCGCAGGCCTCCATGCTCTGCCGGAAACAATGCCACACTCTTGGTACTTCCAGGGTGCATTATACCCCATGTAAGGTACCTTGCTGAAGTTGTGGAAGTGGTGTGACGGCAACTATGGCAGTTGATAACTTAGTGCCCATTGTGCCAATGACATTACTACTGCATTCAAGATCAGGAGTTCAAAGTTCAGTAGGGGTGGCAAAACATTACGTAAGGACTCACTCAGGGCTGATAAAACAGACAAGAAAAAAACACAGGCTCCCTCCTCACCTCTACATTCCTCAACCCTGCAAAAACCTCCAAAACCTCCCAGTGGATTTTGAAGGATATACGAGGGTCAGGTGCAAGATCTCATTTCTGCTGTCAAAAAACAAAGGCCAGTTGTTTCTGTATTCGTAACCAATCATTCAATACTTATCCAAAGAGATTAGAAAGAGTTGTGATGCCAAATTTATAAATGACACATCAGCAAAAAGAATTGTTCAGACAAGTGTGTCATCCTACCTGTGCTTTGCGCGATAGCTTTCATTAGTATTGTCTCTCCGATGCCAAGCTCTATTCCCTCGTATGCCGGTGCAATCTTATTCAGGCACAAGTACACACACATCTCCATGTCCTTGGGACTCAGCACCAAGACAGATGTCAGAAAGTCAGTCAAGGTTTCGATGGTCTTCAACCGGCCCGAGGTGGCCTCTATAATGTCAAAGGTCTTAGCTAAGGCCAAGTATGGAACCCTGCAAAGGCAGAAAAACACAGGGCTTTGCTGTCAATGCTAAACCCACTGCAGAATGTTGTGTTTGTGGTAGTTACATTTCAGTGAGACTGATTTAGGACGAGCTCAGTGAAAATGGTAAACACTTGAAACTCGATGACCAAAGAACAATTATTATTTTTGATGGCCACAAATGCCAAGTTGAATGCAAGATTATATATATGACTATATACAAGCCTGGCCAAAATTGTTGGGACACGTGTCAATAGCTGTACCCTCCCGAGGTCCCCTACTCCCCCCGGTCAATGTTGTCATCTTAAGCTGGAGCACAGACCAGGCAATCAGGCCCAACATTGGGAGGGGGCCCTGAGGGGTGGAGGCCCAACGAGATTTGGACAGGAATGCAGGTAGTTGATTATAAAACAAGAAATGATGAGGGTATAAGTTGTTTTTTACAAGAGTAGGTGCAGTGCTTTCTTGCTTACTGGAACCCTCCATGGACTTGTGGTCCAAGTAAGTGGGCATGTGAAATTCTATTAGATTTATCTGGGACAAAACTCTAGAATTTCGACTTGCCAGATGATTTGGTTTGGTATTTCAGATGCCAAGTTACATTTCTGTTGTGAAATAGTGACAGATGAAAATGTCCTATCACACAAAAGAATTTTGAAATACCTTTCTCCTTGCTTCCAGCAGGCATCTTTAACTGGATGGTACCGGGGGGCTCCAGGGTTGTACTCCACACTGTCCGACGCAGCCACCTTGGAAAACATTCTAGTGAGAAGGGTCAGGAACAGAGGAGTTATTTTAGTAATTACAAATAGTACATATGTCAGGGAATGATGGTAAGTAATTCATAAATGACAGAAATGGTGAGACGTCAACCGTGATTCTTACTGGCATCTCTACGTATTTGTTTTGGTGATGGTGATCACAATGATCGGGATGAAAATGATGGTGATAAAGATGACAGAGGTTCGACTGGTAAAGATGGTGAAATGATGATGGTGATAAAGATGACAGAGGTCCCACAGGTACAGATGGTGAAATGATGATGGTGATAAATATGGCAGGAATCCTACCGGTACAGATGATCAGAGTGGTGGAATGTGAGGATGACAGTGAATATCAAAGGGGTGTGAGTGACAGGTATTAATGATGCTGGCTGAAATGATAAAACTAACACTGCTGAAAATACAAATGACGAGTTTACTGAGATGTTCACCCAGAAGACCTTTGGTTATCTTGCAACAAAAGCGGCTGGTTTGCATATACAGTAACTGTCCTTTACCCAAATACGTTCTTGGCTGGAGTCTTGCCATCCTTTGGTTTCTCCCCTTTGTCTCTTTCCTCCTCTGTCACACTCGATGTCTTGCTGCCAGCTGGTGACGCTACTTCTTCTTTCACTTTGGGTGACGTCATTTTCTCTGTCTTGTTACCTGAAGCCTTTGATTCTTCTGCTCCTTTGCTTTCTGTGAAATTTTTAAAAGCCAGGAATTAAAAATGAATTGAAAAAGATGTACGAGGCTGCCTCCCATAGACAGAAAGTCACTTAAACACACTTGAATTATCTGGAGCTTGCGTTTCTAGTAAAATACAATCACGGTTTAGTCAGGATCAAGGAAATAAATTTGGCGTATATCTGGAACCTGTAATTGTAAAATTTTACATTACAGAAGATTAAAAAGAATGATTTGTCAATAATCTGAATGAAAATGGCTTATTAAGGAGGAAGGAAAAGCACAGTTCAGTACCAGTCTGGGGAAACACTGGAACTAAACATTGCCATGTATCGTTGTCCAAGGTAGCGTTAGGTTTACTTTTACTTTGTAGTTGTACCCTGTACTGACCAATGAAAACACCTTATCCTGACAGTGTGCATGCTCTTGGACTGCCAAGCAATATGTACCATTTTTTATTGACGGTTTCAGCACCTCCCGCTTGGAGTCTTTCTTCGGTGGCGTTTTGGCCTTTTTGGTCTCGGCTTTCTTTTCTCTAGTTTCAGAATTCTTGGCTTTAGGGGACTTCTTTTCCTTCTTAGTATCTCTGGGTTTGGCTTTTCCTGCAAGAAATGACCAAAGTCAAAGTGACTGCGGCACAAAAATGAGACAATGTGTTGACGAAATGTGAGTGGAGATCCAAGGATTTGCTCTTCAAAGAATGCCAATTTGTGCGTCGTGCTGAAGAACCAATCAGGAAAAGGTGTATGATTACTCCACGACACTACTTTTTAAAAAAGACAGCAAATTAAATGGTTCTTATTTACCATATCAAGAAGTGAACCTGATAAGACAACAACACAATTGTCAAGTAGTGGAGAAACTTCACACTGACATAAAAGTAGATTTATCTGAGACTTGATACTGAGAAAAAGGAGCTAAACTTAAAAACTAGTTTTGTTCCTGTAGAGAAGTGCAAAATGAAAGCTTCTGATAAACTGAGTGACTTCAATGACAAGTGTGTGAAATGTGCACGATGGAGAAAATAAATTTGAATAATGGAGGTCCAATTTTACCGTTTTTGCCATCCTGCATATCCTCCTTTGCTTCTGGAGGTTCCTCCACGCCATCCATCATTTCTTCTTTGACTTTTGTCACAGGCGAGTCCACCTCGGTAGTGCTTTTAGTTGCTTCCTGCACAATATGAAACGTCTCTGTTTAAGCTTGATTTAAATCCTATTCATTTTAAGCATTTCATCATTACTTGGTTTGTGCCATGTGCAGCTCGAAGTATGGCTCTGCCAAGAGTAGACTTTGCCTAAGATTAATGTTAATGAAGCAACTTTTCAACTGAACAACATGTAACAAAAACATGTTCAACTTTTTACCAATACAATAGTCACAATTCACATTTGGATTTTGTGTCATTTTTCTAAAAATTTCAACTATAAAAAAATACAACATTCCTTACTTCCGAGGTGGTTTCTGGGGTCAATAGCTTGTCTGTTTTGATCTTCTTAGATTCTGATTCTGCCTTGATGGGTGTGGCAATATCCTGTTCCTCCCCCTTCTGTTCCTCCGCTTTCCTCTTTCTCATATGTTTCCGTGCTGCTCAAAATAATGTAACAGCTGTGTGAAAACGACTAACACCACAACCTGTTGATTGTTGTCTATAAAAACATAATAGACTGTTACCATGAGTTAAAAGAGGTTTTTTCGTTTAGAAGTAAAAGCTACAGACAATGCACTGGTGGAATACATCAAGATTTCAGGCGAGCCACCTGACACTTACCAGTCTTTCTGAGAGGTATGCTGCCTGGTGTAGATGATGGTGAAGCTGTTTCCAGTGCTTGAGATGGGGTAACGGGCGATGGTGGGATGGGGTCAGAGGCCAATTCGTCAGCTGTGGCAGCCTGTGGTCATAAACGATATCAAGATGTTAAACAAACAGCAAGGAGGAAACTGACAAAGCCGCAATTCATGATCAATGAAAATTTGACTGGATTTGAACCCTCATCCTCTGCCTCTGCTTTGGATAACTGGAAGGTCCAATAATGCAGTAAACCGTCCTCACTGACCTTCCTCTTGGGTGTGTCTTCCATGGGTGGGCTCTCCACGGGTGCGGTCTTGGTGGGTGTGGTCCTGCTCACATTCTCATTGCTATCCTCTTCGTCACTATCAAGGATGCGCCGAAATTTCTTCCGTGTTTGCTCGACTGGCGACTCTTGGTTTGTACTATTCTTTACTTTCAGTGGAGATCTATCATCCCTATCATTTAAAACGGGACAAACTTACACTTCTCACCATGTTTCACCAGAAACAAGCTGACATGAGTGGTTCTTAAAGTGATCAATTGTTTCCAACTTTCAATTTGAGACCTACATAATTAGCTACGACTATGTGGGACGCATAATATTCTGAAGTATTTGTTAAGTGGGCAGAAAGCACAACTTCTTAACTCACTGTATGTTTCCAGATGATGCCACTTTGTCTGTTGTTCCCATATGCCGCTTGGGACTGAAAAATGACCTGAGAGAGCCCAAAACCAATTTCAGTATGAAAACACAGGGATACAACATGAACATTATCCATTATGTGTAATGAAAATGTGTAAAAAAGGTAATTTCATTTCAATTCTAGTATACCTAAGCTGCCAAAAGGCATGACAGGGATAATGCACACATCACACATACACTACAACACAAATCTTCAAATTGTAGCATAATGCATCAGGGCAATGCAACGGCATAAGCACTTTCACTAGTGAGTTTCAGTTGAGAGAAATCTCCATTTTTGAGGCAGCAGGTGTCACGCATGTCAACAATAGATGTCATTGGCAAGTATTACTCATGAAAACAAGGCTAATTAACCTCGTTAGGGGTACTTGTTAGGCTTGATTCCCCTTTTGGGGGGAGGGAGGTATCCTTTCTGAAAAACAACTGACTAAAATGCATGTGCACATCCATCTTTGACACCAGCTCTGATTAGCACATTATAAGTCCCATTCTCCCCTACAGTGGCACAAGGGGCGTGGCCTCGATCGTCCAGAGCTACATGTATATTGAGATAAATTTTAGTCCTCCCCCCACAAAAATTCACAATCTCTGCTGATTAAAGTCCCATCTTTGCCCTCGGTAAAATAATTTTTTTTCCCCACAAACATATTTTTGGTTATGTTCAGGCCACCGCACACCCTTTCTTAGCAAACACATTTCCACTACTCTGTTTCCAGTACATGTAATGTGTTGTCCAATGGAACGTCCCGTCCATGAGACGTATGACATAAGAGACAAGCTGTAGTTGGTGAACGTCATCAGCACACCATTCAATCAACAGAAATTTTTCTTTCATTTGAGGCCGAAAGGAAACTGAATAGAAAAAGATGGGAGCCACGTTGTAATTGGTGAAGCTGCTGACAACGATGGCCTTTCAACTGAACACGACTGGCATACCAGGTGAGCTAGGCAAGCGGTCATGGACACAGGTGTGGGTACAGAAAATTTGCATAAATTTCACCATTTTAAATGGTATAATGTAAATGACCCCCCATCCCATACAAAATCTTGAGAGACCTCAAAAAATATAGGTGAAACATTGGTGTAACAGCATAGAAATTTCATGCAAACCGAATATAAGCCTTATCGCAAATACTGCATGGGTGATTTTGCAAAAAAGGGGCAATATTTTTTCCTTCCCACAATGCTTTTCTACCATTGTGCAAAATCACCCCAGTATTTGCGATAAGGCTTATTTTTATGACTATTTTTGTTGCTAGTAAGTATCTGTAGATTGTAAGGTTTGTATAAACCAGTACAGTTCCGGAAGTAACCTAGGCCTGGGGCTACGTAGTACTAAAGTTAATAATACTAACACTGACTAAGCTTACAAATTCACTTCGGCCTACAGGAATTTTGAATTATTTGTGGCCTACAATTATGACTCCTTCCTCAATCATCATGCCCATGATATAGGCTTTCTGCACATAGACCTATGTATTCTTCCCCTATGAGTGATTGTGCGTGATAGATGAAGTCTCTCATTATTACTACTAAGCACAGAGCAAGGAAGACTGGAGTAATATTCTTACATTATCGATCGCTGCGCCATGGTTAAGTGGAAGGAAGGTCTCCGCAACAAATTTGCTTCAGTTTTGATCAGATTTCGTTGTCTGCAATGAAACACAGGATGTGACTGGAGCCCTTCAAATCTATCGAAAAGTCGCCGCTTACAAGCTTCGTACAAAAATCGTCTACCACCGATGAGTAGCAAACCATTCATTCAAGTAGAAATTGTATTGCAAGTACTAACTACTCCGTAGTACTTCAACAAAAAACATGCAATGTTGACACCCATCCGCGGGAAATTCTGTTTTTCGCGCGTAACCCATTGTGTTTGTGTCGGATTCCCTGTGCGCATAGCAAAAAACTGCAATGATCTATTTGCATCGAGGGCATCTGACTACTTTATAACCTCCCCTGGTGGTGCGCATTTGATATGGAACTGGTAACGGTAAACTGCAACTGAGCTCTGTGACTGCAACACACCGATCCGATTTCTGCGCCCGAGCTCCTTAATATTTTGTGATCCCACGGGTTTTACAGTAAGACATGCCATAATCAGGAGGGATCATTGAAATATTTCTATAAATCTCGAATTTGGGACTAGTAGTTTCCCGTTCGGGATATTTCTTTCACAAAAAGCCCAAAATTGGGGGCCTATTTTGGATATAGGCGGGCGGCTACATTCAGAGCTGAGCGCATAGTTTTACTACTATTTGGGAGCCCAGGGACGTTATTTAAAACAAATTATATGACGTCCGTGGTATTCGGGGAAAGGCGAATAAAAAAATTCACGTGGCTAACCCCAATAAATTGAACAAAAAGTGATCTTCTGGTCATAATCTTGAATTTCCAGTGAAAAAACGGAGGCCAACCTCTTCCCAAGAGTCAACTATTTCGGTCTGATTTTGTACTGTTTTCTATGGGCGTGTATTTAATTAAGTATAGAGATCAGTGGTGTAGTGCGATCCATGAGTACAACCATTGGCGCGCGCGCGCCAAATCGATTAAAAATCTCACTGGTCACGGCGTCCATAAAACCAGACAGCATTCGCTCGTCGCCCAGGGCCCGAGCAGGGTACCAGGCAAAAATACTGAATGGTGCACGTTGGTGGCGCGAACTACCATGTGCATTGTGTGCAGAGAGCAATGCAACTGCATCGTCTGTTTTGCGATAAGATAAGACCAGGTGCGTAAATCAACAATTCTGGCGTAATTGGCCTATATGTCATGAACGGAACTGCGGTTCAGTCATCAGTCAATCCATCGATTGCAAAGAGGCAGAAGCTTTCCAACAGTGAAGAGGTGAGTTGGCAATTTTAATGAGATATTTTGCTGCAGTGCGGGGCTTCGCTAAGTAAGAACGTCCGTGGTCAGTCGAGGTCCCTTGCATGCCACGTCCAGTCTGATGATGGGTTTTCACACCAAGTGGCTAAATTTGGCACCTGAAAAATAGGCCTAACGTTCTGTTCCCCCATAGTTACACCATGGTTTACTTGTGTAAGGTTTGTACAAACCTTACTCAAAAGCCAGGTACAAACTTCCATTTTGCATGTTTTGGCTGTTTTGATTGTGCCAACTTACTCTTCCATCACAGCTACACGTAGGCCTATTTGTGCAACCAAATTTTACACATGCCTTCTTACTGAAGTTAGATATGTCTTATGCAGAGATTTGTTCACCTTATTCCTCATTAAAATGGTTGAATTCTGGAGCATTTTGCCCATCCATACTACAGAAACTAAGCCATTGTCGGCAGCATTTACTCTCAATAACTCAGCTAGCTGTGCGATTGCTTGACCCATCCATATGGAAGTTTACCTATGATTGGTCATTGGAATGGAAGCAAATTGGACTAATCACAGTGTGGCTTTTATCTGTGGGTGTCAGCAGGTCAGGAAAACAAAAGGAAAAGATGGGAGCATTGTTGTGATTGGTCAAGCTATCACGCAGCTGTCAGTTACCGAGAGGAAGCCAACATGCTGCTGACTTTTTGTAGTGTGGATGGGCAAACTTCTCAAGAATTTCACCATTTAAATGAGGATATACTGTAAGTTGAGTAAACCTCCCCATCCGACATCTAACTTTACCAAGAGGGCATGTATGAAATTTGGTTACACATATACATGTAGCTGTGATGGAAGAGTGTGTTGGCACAATCCAAACAGCCAAAACGTGTTTATGGGAGTTTGTACATGGCTATCTGGAAGGTTTGTATAAACCTTACGGTTCCGGAAGTAACCATGGTTATACTGTCATGCATGTAAGGCTTCTTGTACTCCTGAATCACTACCTTGGGACCCTGTTTTTGAATGCAGTCCTGTTGATATGTCAAACTGGGGTTAGCTTAGGCCTACATTTTTGTTTGAAAAAAATCCACTTTCTCAATCAAATCTTCCCTCCAAAGTCTGCCAAAATTGATGTATCTTATGATCTATTTCAAAAAGCCCAATGACCCATGGATTCAGGACCCTGTCATGCTTAATATAACCAAGTAGCCTGCACTGTATGTATGGCATAGTTTTTACTTATAGTTTTTACTAAATGATTCACATAGCTTCACGTTTTTTTACACAATGCTATACTTGAAGAACTCCAAGTCACCACTCGGTGTGACTTGGTCTTGGAGCCATCGTAGTTTACATCGGGGTCGCAGCACTGTAGCCTATGTGTTTTTTTAATCCAGCCTTTATGGTTAATGATCCTTTAACACAAATTCCGCATTTTCCGTCAAATTTTCCTTTGAGAGCAACCATAAGGTACTAGTACCTATAACTCTTGAAAATGTTTATATTGAAATTTCAGACCATGAGAGTGAGCATTTGTCGAAAAATCTGACATGGTTACTCACCAATCTCCCGTTTCCACCCCATTCATTTGTGTTTATCACATTGTGCATATGTCAGGCCGGTGGCCAAGCTTCCCCCACGTGTTGGTTTGGCCATTTTCGGAAGTGGGAGAGATGGCATCATGCCTTTATTGCGCGACCGTCCATGCTGTGACTTTTAAGTTGATACCATCAGAATGCGCAACATGGCATGCACTGCACTGTGTAGCAGCAAAGCATACATTTATTTATTTCTGCGAAAGTGGAGTCAGTCAATCCATTCCTTTCTATTTATGTTCCATGAGTGAGGAGCTACATGTACATGTATACAGCTCATTTTCACACGCCTCCGAAAATGGTCTGACCGAAATGCAGAGCCAGCTTGGCCATTTGACCAGATGCAGGCACAGTGTGATAAACACGTTGGCCACAGGATGCAATTAAAAGTTTATAAGATATTCTACCATTATGCCCAGTCATTTCAGCCCCAGCCCACGCCACCTGCAAGTTAACACGTCTTTTATTATCACTTGTCACCCACCAGATACAGTTTGACAACATGCCAGCCAACGACGCCACAGTGATCACCCCAGGGCCAGAGGGTTGGTTCGGCAGCGAGCCCCTGGCAACCAACGACCCTGAGATTGCAAGCATCATTGCCAAGGAGAAAGATCGGCAGAGACGTGGTCTGGAACTGATAGCCTCTGAAAACTTCACTAGCCGAGCAGTACTGGAGACACTGGGCTCGTGTCTGCAGAACAAATATTGTGAGGGCTACCCTGGAAATAGGTAATTTTAAAGTTAATCCCCACTAGAATATTCACAAACTTTATGCACTGTAGCTGTGTAGTTAGAGGAATGGACAAATTAGAGACAGACAAGCACATCTTTTTCCTTTTTTTTCTTTCAAAATGTTTTGCCTTGATTTGATCCATCTTCAAAGGTAGCAAAAAGGCTGTGTTTAATTGTAAATGTCTTGAAGATTAGGTGACCAAATGTGCCATGGGAACAGATTTCTGATAAATATTTGTAAGACAACTGGGAGAGATGCTTTGAAAACAAATATTCTTATATTTTGTCATCTCTAAACTTATCTCGAAGTTTGACATTACAGATCGTATTCCCAAAGTAGTAGAAGATGCTATATAAAAGCAGTATCAGATGTAAAAAAAAATCAAGCATTTTAATAACTTAAGTTTGTTTTCCTGAACTGGAGACGAAAGAATTTATCTCAACTTTCGTTGACTATCGAATATGGTTCAAAATTCCCCAGGTGCTTTTGGAGGATTTTGAGCGATTGTGAAAAGTATTTGTTGATTCATTCCCGCCAATGTTACTTTGCCAGTATGACATGATGCACGATATGCGGCAAAGGGGGACCCCCCCTGTATTGTGTCTTCTTTTGTGTTGATGGAATCTTTGGAATTCCTCTCAGATTTCTGAGGGGGGTGCAGTAGGCATAGGGTATACAGCTTGTGCATGACATTAGGGGGGGTCCCCCTTCACTGCATATCGTACTGGGTATTCAGTATGATGTCCCTTGAATGTTCAGGTGCAAAGGATGTTCTATCATGGAGGAAGGTTTAGTTTATGTAGGCAGGTTTGTAGCAAAACACTCCCTTATGCCTGGGGAGTTGAAGTTAGTTTGTATCTCAGTGTCATTTCTTCCACGGGAAACTGCAGTGTATCATCAGTTGTCTCCTTGCTTGTATGTACATGTATGTGCAGATATTATGGTGGCACGGAACACTATGACGACCTGGAACGCCTCTGCATAAAGCGTGCCTTGGAGGCCTACCGTCTCAACCCAGACGAGTGGGGAGTCAACGTCCAGCCCTACTCGGGCTCTCCAGCCAACTTTGCCGTCTTCACGGCCATCATCGGCCCGCATGGTCGCATCATGGGACTGGACCTGCCGGACGGGGGTCACTTGACCCATGGCTTCATGACCAGCAGGAAGAAGATCTCGGCCACGTCGGTCTACTTTGAGTCCATGCCGTACAAGGTGAACCCTGAAACGGGGTACATCGACATGGATCGACTCGAGGAGAATGCCAGACTTTTCCACCCTCAAGTGGTCATAGCTGGTAAGTGCTGTTGTGGCTGTTCTAAGCATTTCAACTATCCACACTTGAGTTTGGCACTCAAAAGATGTTTTATAAGAACATTCAGTTTTAAATGAAGAGAAACTTACAAAGAATCAAAAATTGCCGTCAATTTGTTGAATTCAGGTCAAATTACTTAAAGTGGTATGACTGAATATGACTACTAGTGAACCCAAATTTTCATCCCGGAAATAGCCATGGAAATGTTTAGCATGTCAAGAGCTGAGTTATAGCTTTTCTGCTTTAGATTTAAAAGAACAAGATGATAAAATTAGACCTGCTTATCTATATTTAGTCTCCAATGTAAATACATGTATGTACATGTGGAGTATCTGAGGACAAAGGTTACGTAAACAAAACCCGATCTGGTTGTGCACGGTGAAGTAGGACAGATTTTGTATTGTGTCTGGTATTTGCTTAATCTGTTGTCTCTTCTCAGTGAAATCCTGTCCTTTTAAAAAGCCTTGTTCATGTTGTCAACTCAGCAGTCGCGGCCGATGCATCAACATTTTGAAAAAATTAACCTTAACAGCCCTGAATGTTCCAATTTTGATATGATTTTGCGCACACCCTATGGAGTTAGGGTTAATTTGGCAGAAACATTTACATGCTTTCAGTATGAGATTCTCCCGAGGCAAGACTTTTTAGCATTTGATTTTAAAAAACCCCAGAGAGGCCATGTTAAATGGCATCTATCATACATATACATGTATATGCAAGAACATTTTGAAATGTTCCTTGTATCAGGGGTGAGATTTGTCAGGATTTTTTTTCTTCAGGATGTGCCCAATTTCTGGACGGTTCAATCAATCCTTTTAAAATCTGAAACATCCTGAGTTCACTATTATAATACGTGAATTAAGGTGTTTTAACACAGAACAAAAGAAGTGGTGATTTAAAGAGGTTTCTTTGGGCCAACACCAATGTGTACCGTAGACCCTTTGCTGCTGTGGTCCCCCAAATCCTCTGGAGGTTATTTCATGGATATTTAATTTGCCTCCAAATCTCATCCCTGATACATTAAGCATGTACTTACATGTATAGCTACTTCCATGTACAAAGTCAACTATTTTTTGTTGGAGTGTACCGTATGTATTGCAGAGTTTAATACCCACATGTGTGTAAAGGTATTTTCTGTCTCTAAGACTTGCTGCGCAATATTAACACATGTATGTATGTTAACAGGTTTCTCTATTGCGCTCTCAGTTGTTTGGTCTTTTCCATTCAAGTTAGGCAACCAAATTTCAGGATGACAAAGAAGACTGAAACAGCGCATAAGTGGCCTACCGTGAACGGCAAATGGCCATGCAATGGGGCCATGCGTGGAATGTTTGTGAACGGAAGCCATGCTTACCAGCCAATGGAGAAAATCACACTGCCTCAAAAATCACATTACATCAATGAATTCTGTGTTGATGCCATGGCAGTAACAGGCTCAAGCCTGGATATATGAACATGTGCATCAGAATTTAAATAATTACATAATTAGTGAACAAACTTAAGATTTTCTAATTGTTAATACAAAAACCTCATCATCTTGGGCTTGCTTCAAGTGTTTTTTTTTTTTTTCAAGGTATTTTTTTCTCACATGCTGGTCTTGGTCCATACAAACGTATCCAACAACATGTATAACTGGAAAATAACTACTCGTGCGTGGCCATATATATACAATTAGGCACTGCGACCTTATGGCAAAGCTTGCCATTAAGGTTCGATATTTCAAAGGGTAGTGATGCAAAGGAAAGATGGTACATGAATAATTGTCTGATTTCATAATAGCAATGCATTATCGCAGGAATAGTCAATGAGCTGTGTACACGTAGTCATATGCAGCAAGGTATGAGATGGAGAGAACCCCCCCTGCTTTGTGTTGGTCATTGTCTCGCAGGAATCTGGGGAATTCCCTTGAGACATTTTGGGGGGATGTGTTAAGTAACAATAGTCTGGAATGTGTATAGGGATTGGACATGTTGGGGGGGTACCCCTCGATCTCATTTCTTGCTGGGTACACACGTAGTTCTGACTAGCTTCAGTTACAGCTCATTTTAATAATGTTACAGTAATTACAAGTTTCTTTCCATGCTTTGTTGTATGCCTGTAGGCATCAGTTGCTACTCTCGTAACCTGGACTATGCCCGATTCCGCAAGATTGCTGACCAGCACGATGCATACCTGATGGCTGACATGGCTCACATCAGTGGTCTGGTGGCTGGCGGTGTAATCCCCAGCCCCTTTGACTATTGCGACATTGTCACCAGCACGACCCACAAAACCCTGCGTGGACCAAGGGCTGGCATCATCTTCTTCCGCAAAGGTAGAAAGCAATGAAATCTCAGTGCCCCCCCGGAAACGCCAAAAATGCTACTCAGATAACATGTTTAAAATAGTATCGGAAAGTGCTAAAAAAAAAAGCACTTTCGTGCTTGAATAACAATGGAAATGTTTTGTCATTTCCTGTCCCAATCCTCATTATCGCGGGTGGCTAGCGGTGATGAAAGGCTATCTTAAGAAAGTAAGGTGAAGCGATGCTGTACAATTGAACCACATGGAAAATGTTTTTCAAGCTATGCTGGCTACCAGCACCTGTTCATAGTTATTGGTCTTCGGTAAGGTTCAAAGGTCAGTTACCGTGCCTGTGCAGGGAGGGCCGCACACTTTCAAAGTCAGGTTTCTTGTATGGTTGGGAATCAAACCGAAGACAGGTTAAAAAAAATGACTTTTTTGCCCTCAGTGTTTTAAATAAGTTTGCCCCCCAAAATTTGGTAAAGAGCTTTCAGGATTACTGAGTGGTCAGTCTGTCAGAATTGTGACAAGTTGAAAATGAATCCTTCTCATGTGTACATGATTTTTATCCAGGCGTGAGGAAAACCCTGAAGAACGGAACACAGGTCATGTACAACTTGGAAAAGCCCATCAATGAAGCTGTCTTCCCTGGCTTGCAGGGTGGTCCACACATGCATGCTGTTGCTGGTTAGTCTGGCTATATGGCGCCCTCTTCATTTCCCGTTTCCTTGTGTATTTTTTGTTTCTCTCTCTCTTTTTTTTTTCAGTTTTCCTTTTTTGGGGGGGGGTTAAATTTGAAAGGTATTTTCAGTTGTCATTTTTGGCTAACAACATATGTAACTTACAAATGCAAGTTTAAAACATTAAAGTTCCTTTACTTTACACATAAATGTATCAGCAAGAATCCAGAAAGACTGTCTGCCATCTTTGGGAAAATCGGCAATGTAAACAAAGAAAAACTGAAATACAAGCCCCGCTCCATTAAAAAAACATGCATTAGAAGAATTTTTAATCAGTCCAGTCTTTTGATGACATTTATTAAACACTTTAAAATCTGTCTGCAAACCGACTGGTAAATCTAGAATATTTACAACTTGACCCATAGCACAGATGTTGGAAAATGAATTCTGTGTTAAGTTTTGGCAGTTTTCCACTGTTGATGTGTTTTGCAGTTGTTGAAACTTAAAGATCATTGAAACCCTGTTTCATGAGGCCTTTGGCAAATCCTTTGAAGTATGAATGACTTTTTTGCTTAATGTCGTAAATTAACAACAGAAGACCGTAAATCCATGCCTTTATTCACTCCCAAGGTGTCGCTGTCGCACTACAGCAGTCAATGAAGCCAGAGTTCAAGACTTACGCCTCCAACATCATCCAAAATGCCCAAGTCATGTGCAAAAGCCTTGGGGAGCGCGGATACAAGATTGTGACAGGTACATTTTGGCAATACCTATTTTGGTGGATACCGGGCTTGGCTGTTGAGTCTAGTTACTGTCTCTACATTACTCTTCGGGCCCTGCTACACAGAAACCCCTACCCTCGTGGATCCCTTCAAATCCACCCGGAATTTTTGGAAGGTGTTTCAGAATTCATTAACCCTAACCACTCAAGGGTTGCTGGACCTAACCTTCCCCAGTCACACAAACTTCAACACCTTGGAAAAACACTCATACCCAACAGTATCCAATCCCACAGACTTCGACAGTACAGGCCTACTCCTGTTGCAAGAGTACCTAATCCCAAAAATTCCAACAGGTCTTTACCTGTGTAACTCTGTTTGATTGGGTACAGCAGGCCCATTGCACAGTACAAAGAGTATGGACAGGCAGTACCTATTCAAACAAACTCACACACCATCATGCTGCATATCCATCCCCAACTGCTGGGATAAAGTGAGAGGGCCACAGTACCCATTCAGTCCAAATTCAACAGGGTATGTGCAGGCCCACAGTACCCATTCACACAAAATTAAACACCGGATAGTAAGCTACCAGTACCCAATGCCACAAACTCACACACTTTACTGGTGTTGAATTCTGTGTGGTTAAGGAAGGTAAGGGTTAAGTCAGTGCCCGACTGAGTTACATGTAGCAAAGTTCTTGATATCCTGACACCGTGTAAGTGTATAAGAGTGCAGTGTTGGTTTTCTGCACAGGAGGAAATTGAAGAGGATCGAGGGTGGTGTTTAAAAAAAAGAATTCTTTCAAAGGATGCCAGTTTAACTTTACGGTATGCTAACTGCTGTTTTGTTTGGTGAACACATAGGTGGCACTGACAATCACCTTCTCTTGCTTGACCTTCGACCTATTGATCTTGACGGTGCCCGGTGCGAAAAGATCCTGGAGGACATATCAGTGGTCTGCAACAAGAACACGTGCCCTGGGGACCTGAGTGCCCTGAAGCCCAGCGGACTTCGCTTTGGAACGGCCGCCCTGACATCGCGCGCACTGACCGCCGAGGACTTTGAGAAGGTGGTGGACTTCATCGACAGGGGTAAGTGACCCAGGTGATCTTGGTGGGGGGTTCAAATCCCATTCACGGAGCTGCAACGAGGTCAATCAGATTCATTGTATTTGTCACGTTGCAATATGTGGAATTTGACTTCCAGGTTACAATTATATAAAAATGTTTAAATTAGAAAATATATTTACCACTTATGCATAAATAGCTCAGACAGTTTCCCTAATCAACAACATGCAACATGACCGTGCATTAACATTTGATAATGACACTGTGTAAAATACATTCTGGAACCTGGATATAAACAGTTTAATCCATTCCTATTGGTCAATAGTCTGCGTGTGACGTGGCATGCTGAAATGTGGCATGCAGAATGCGCCATGCATGCTCCAAGTCCATATATGGAGATTTTTCTGGACAACTTGCACAAGGAATATGCCATAAAATGGACGGTGATGTTTGGGAAAATGAAAGTAAAATTCTAGAACAACATCATTCAACATCTATCTGTCTATTATATATCGACTTCTTTTGACTCTCTGACAAAAAAACGTATTTATGAATGGGAATAAGTATGTGCTTGGCTCATCTTAAACTAACATTCAAGATGGGCTGAGGAGAATGAACGCCGATAATGCCCTCGCCTGTAGCTCATGCATTAGTCACGTCCATTCTCCTGAGCCAGCCAAGCAAATTCCCTTATTAAAACATACAGATTCAATGCAAAAGTGAATTAAAAGGTCCAATGAGAACCCCCCCCCCAACAGACACAAACAGATGTATTTCATTTGGGTAGTTCCTGTGTCCTTAATCCAATCCAGTATTTTTCACGTAAGTGTGGCTAGGCTGCAGTGGTGTCAGACCATGCAAATTGCACTTGGTAAGAATAGCACTTTGTGTCGGTAGGTGCATGTGAATGGTAGTACAGTCCACCCTGACTTCCTTTTTAATTTCAGAATTTGATACCGTTGGTTTTGCTGGCAGTTCTAGTGATCCGCCTGATTCCTCAAATTTTTGTCGTTCAGGCAATGAACCACACAATACAATGTCATCTTTTAGTATTTTTTTTGTTAAATCATAAGGCATCAAGCTGACTAAAGAGGTTGTGGCAATCAGTGGCCCTACTCTGAAGGAGTTCCGCGAAACGGTGGCTACCAACGAGGACGTGAAGAAGAAGATCGCTGCCATGCGTGAGGAAGTGGAAGCCTTTGCCACGAAGTTTCCCCTGCCTGGTTTCTAAACACCCGGCAGGCTCAGCACTGAAGAGAGATTTCTGTATTCACAAAAATAAAACTGTACAGGAAAGAAACTGTTAATCTCTGTTAATGATAATGAGGTATTTTAGGGGAGTGTCTAAAATTAGAACTGGTTATCAGCACCCAAAAAGGACTTTCTGGTTGTTTGATAAAGGTTAAAATGATTTCATTATTTAACTTATTCCAGTTTAATGATTCACTAATCTTCAAGTGTATGTTGAATTTTTCCAATGTATTTACTTGTGACTTTATGCATGCTCATTACCCTGAAGAGTATGAAAGCAGTGATCATATGTAGTGGTTTAACTTGGGTAGTTAGAGCTTAATTAAGTTTAAAGGTGCAAATGCCAAAAATACAGAGAAAATTTCTTGAAAATAGACAGACCATTTACCATGTGCAGTGTACATTCATTTAACTGAGATCAGGATTGCAAGTGTTTACCCTGTTTTGTTTCCATCGTGTTGGAATTTAGTAGTATGTGCTGCACCAAACTCTTCTGTCCTCCCTCCATTTAAGCCCGAAGGTTTAGAAGTCATCAGTGTGCTTGGTAATTTTGTAAAATTTATCTCGGTATTTGACTGCCCAAAAAAGAGGGCACATACAGAGATTGTTCTTAATTTGGCGGTTTTGGGGGCAGAAGCTCGGTCAAACATGTACGGGATATTGATTTATTTTGGTTGAGAAAATGGAAATGAGCTATTTTTTCCATAAAGGGAGTGAGTTTGCACTGTAGTTTTCATCCTGTTTAAGTTTCATTGGCCAATCAATGGGATTCTTCTGAACAGGGTACTGATGGGTTGACATGCATGTTCCAAATAGTAACTCCATAATCTTGTTCGAAATGTTACACGCAGGCATATTTGGTATCAAAGCAGATCGACCTTTGTCTGGATTATTGATTTTAATTTTGTGCTTATCAAGGTTGGTGAGGTTATTATGCAATGGTTGTATCTACAAATATTTAAACGTCAGAGTCCCAGGGGAAGAAAAGGAACTACTAAATTGAGAATCATGTACTACCACAGCATTCAACCTCGTAACTCACAGCCCATTGGTGGGGAAGTGTTGTTATAAATCCTCGTGAGTCCACCCATGTACACATTACACGTATGTGGGCTGTTAACTTGAATGTACGCACTTAACATGCAGTGTTCACTCATGATAGTCTTTTCAACAGGTTACTTGACTAGATAGTATTTTTGTCAAGTCCATTTCATCATTAACCCTCCTGTGTAAAGACACATTCCTGACACAGTTGCCCTATCAGTCGAAACCAGTCAAATTTCTCATGTGTATCTGTGTACTGGGAGAAATCAAGTGGACTTTTTGACTGTTTTTGACGGTCACAGCAAAAGGAGGGCGTAGCTGTGCAAATCTGCGGTGGTGAAAGGTAGTTGAAGAGGATTCATTCCTGTAACTTCGAAATTTGCAAGGACGTGCACTGTATTCGGTGTCATGAATGTTGGACCAGGTATTAAAAAGTGTTTAATTACTATTAAACTTTCCCCTTGCTGCAGCCATTATAAATTCAGAATCAGAAAAAAAGATTTTCTGTGGGAGTGCATCAAGCATTTTGCCAGCCCGTTCTTCGTATTGATAAATGAATAAATAAAAAGCATATCAAGGCGTAAAAAAAAAAATTTGGCTTGAAATGTTCTGTTTGCCCTTTGTCCAGTTAGTAAGGTCATTGAAACAACTGGACGTGCAGCTATGGTAGCGATGTCATTGTCGACTCACAAGGTTCTTGCTCGAGAACAGGATAGACGAAGAAAAATTTGTGTTGTCGGTGTCTTGTGAGTCTGGGTCCCTGTGGCTGCAGTATGTCTGTAAGGAAGAATAGACTGCCTTCAGGTTGTTCGCTTGTCGAAAACAACAGAATTGGTCTGATAAGGGATGGCTTTGGCTGGAACAGAAGAAAGTTAAAGTTGCCTGGTGGTTGCTTGTGATATCATACAAGACAGACATGGACACTATCCACTTGTTCAGCCAATCTGTACTGATTGATGCTGTCGACGATCCTTTTCCTCAATTTAGAGGCCTATCAGCTCCTCGGCTCACTGCACGTGCTGCACAAACAGTAATTGCATTCATTGGACACAGTGGGAATTTCTAATTGTCATTTTAAAATGCCATTTAGTTGTCTGTAATGAGCACCTAATTACATCACTGCACATTGGGCTTCAGATGGACCCTCCCCCCCTAAAAAAAAAACAAATCAGCGCATGTTCTGGTATGAGGGGCAGCTATTGCAGCCTTGATAACTGATGTGCACCGTTTGGGAAGTTTTTTGGACCCACAGATGTGGAAGGCTGCACAAGTTTTGTTCATGTTGTCATTTGTATGTTGTAGACGAAGCCCTTGTGTCTTGTGAGATATCGCTGTGGTTAATTTTCTCTTGCATTTATATAAATGCTGATGTTACAATTCAGTAGCCGAAGCACTTACAATGTAATGATCATGTATACAAAGTTGGCCAGTGGGATGTTTATTTCAACCTTTCTTCTGTTGTCCAAATACAATTTTAAGAGCATTTATTTTACACATATTAGTACATGTACATTTGATGTAAAATATACACCTAATACTTTTTGTATCATCACTTTATGCAGAACTTGTAGAAAAAGATAAGAAAGTTGACTCCAAAAACAGAGAAGTTAACAGTCTTTTCTGAACAGGAGTCAACTTAGAATAATTTCAATAGTGTTGGAGACATACTTTTCCCTACACTTTCAAGACAAAGCACTAAGATTTACTTTCAAAGTTCTGAAACAAACAAATGAATTTGAAAAACCTTATTAAACAGGTTTTCCAATTTCACAGTAACATCATACAAGTAACAATAATGACCTCAATGTCAGTTAACATCATTAACACTTTGAAAATTAACGTGAAAACAATGCTAACAGCTTTTTCTTTGGAGCCCATGGGCGTGACAACACAAATGCTGGCCCAATTATCACGGTACCAGTCAGTCCATGCAACGTGTAGGTATTGGCAAGAATCTGGTTTTTACATACAAAATAGTAGCAGTTGCCTGAAGGCCTGCATTATAGTTTTCCCTATTTGGTTTTCCTTGGAGTCAAGGGGTGAGATTTATCATGATTTCATATTTTTTTTTTTCGTAATTATTCCCGATTTCAGGAGTTTTGAAATGATCGCTTGTATAATCTGGAAAATCCTGAGTTTACCAGCAAGATATTTTTTCTCTGTGTATAAGCTTACACATCAGTGGAACCCAAGAAGTGGGTATTTCAAGGGGTAGCCTGAGGCATACATAGCCCAG